ACCATGTGAAAGTTTCCGACAATTTTACCACAGCTTCCAGATCTATGAAACAAATACACAAGTTGTTAGTTCGCAAGTATGGAAATACTAAATGTTTCAATACTTTTACCTATTTCACCATGTTTCGCGATAGGACCAGAGTGAATTTTCAAAATCTCCAAGCGAGCTAACTCATTAGGTAACGGAATCTCTGAAGCAGAAAACACCCCCTGATAAAAAATTCTTCTCCAAAAAAGGTAAGAATGAGCGCACCACTCGAGCTCAGTATTTACCAGAACAAAATTGACAATGCCAATTCACAGTTCATACAAAAATGCTACTTACCAATTTTTTTATCCAAACGCCCAGGTCGTAATAAAGCCCAGGTGTATCGGATAGTGGCGGATGATTTTAGTTGTCCCAAAACATCAAAGCCATCCATCAGGTTGAGAAGCTGGAAACATTTTCTTTTTATTCAACAGCCTGAATTATTGTTTCCAGAGTTAATTCGTAACAACTAACCTCCATCAGTGTCCTCTGAATTTCTCGATCAGCAGATGTACCTTCAGAGAAGCGTCGCCCACCAATCGCATCAATTTCATCCATAAAAATAATGCATGGTTCATGGTCGCGAGCGTACTGAAACATCTCCCGAATCATGCGCGCACTTTCCCCGATATACTTATCCACAATTGCGCTTGATACGACCTAAATAAGCCATTTGATTAACTTCGAGAATGTATCTGTACTACCAGGAAATCCAGAGTATTTAACGGTGTAGCCAGTAGTTACTCACTTTAAGAAAATTGCAGTCCAGCTGGCTAGCAACAGCTCTGGCCAACAATGTTTTTCCAGTGCCAGGTGGTCCGTAAAGAAGGCAGCCTTTGGGTGGCTTCACTCCAACACGTAAAAACAACTCCGGATTCGTCAACGGCAACTCAATCACCTGCATTTGCATTTTAATTTACCTGCAGTTGATCGTAAGAAATACAGAACTGCGGTTGTTAAATTTTTTAGGTAAGCACAGAACGTAGGTCCAAGTGTGAAGCCACTGAAGCATCAACAACTGTGCACATTTTCTTTCCGTTAACTCGTTAAGCTTTCAAAAATTCCCTTAAATTTAGGTGCAAGCCAAACGCAGAAATTCAATCCGGAATCAGCAAAAAGTCGCACTGACAAAAAATAATATCTAGCGTATACGATACCTCTCGCAGTTCTCGAATCTGATCGTTTAAACCACCAACAGAGCCGAAAGTTACAGCGCCAGGATCTTCGTGTGACATGTTGTACACCAGAGGATCGACCTCGCGAGGCAGCTGTCGCATCACGGTTAAAGTGGTCATATCCAAGGCTATTCTCGTTCCCGGTTTAAGCAGGGTCTTGTCCAATTGACGCCGACATCCAACCAGATAACGAGGCCCGTTTGCCGCTTTTACAATGAAACGCTCTTCATCCAGCTGACGAAGAACCTCACCAATAATCTGTCCTACACTCTGCAGAGCTTTTATGTCGTTCTCGGATTTATCGTACTGCTTGGTCAGCTTCTTCTGCTCTTCCCGCACTAGAAGCAGTACAATTTAATTCACACAGGTAACAAAATAAAAACCAAAACAGATGTACCAATGACCACGCTGCAGAAGACAGTTCAGCTTTATCAAGCGCTTACATTCTTTTAAACGCTGTTCGAGTTTTCGGTGTTCGACAATCATCTTGCGAAACTCCTGGAGAGCCTTCACACGCGCTTCGTCCATTTTTGTGGCCAGATAATACACTATAAATCATCAAGGGTAAAAACTGTTTCGAAATCAATCTTTTCAGTATTTCTGATCCTTAAAACTTCGTTGTTTTTGCTACGACGATAAGTATCAGCTTTAAAAGAAAACCGTAAAAACGGTAAAAATTTTGTTATGAACTTGTGGGCAAATGAGCAATCTGATTCAGCATTAATTTTGACACGAAGGGTATTTGGTACATACTACTGTACCACGTGCTTAATGCAGCGATACGTCAAGGAGTTGAACCACGTGATCCATGAGTGCTAGTGGCAGCTTAAAGGCTTTCGGCATGAAGGCTGCCTTACGCCGTCAGAGTTTAGAACTTTACCGTTCCCAAGTCTGTCAGCTGTTCTGATTCCGCACTTTCATTAGGTTTGGTCGGCTGTTGTTTCCTGTTTATGAATTTTCTGCAAACATAGGTTTTGCGCTTTCATGCGATTTCATGCAGGGGTTGCTTGATCGTATCTTCCGTAATTATATTGGCGTAAGGAAGCGCTGGGATTACTACCATTTTTGCTTTGAAAGGCCGAAAATGAGGCGCATTAACAGCATACCGTAAAGCTGCAAGCAAGTGAGTCTGCAAGTCAAAGCGCGCGGAAACAGGATCCGGAAGTGACGAGAAGTCCCGCCGATTGTTTTTTGGACGGTTCTTCGATTATCATCCATCGGAGTTTTGTTTACTACTCTGCTTACTTATGGGGTCACCTGCACAATTGTATCAAAACAGCAACTCGGATGACTATCGAGTGTTATCGATCCAGAGTCATGTTGTGTCGGGATATGTTGGAAATCGAAGTGCAGTCTTTCCCTTGCAGGTCTTGCTAATTGTGAAGTGTTTGCATACTGTATCACCTTTGATCGACAAAAAAACTATCTGCGATATCAATGCTGTTTAGTGTTTACGTTGGTCGATGCCTGATATAATGTAATGTGCAACGTTTCTAGTATGCCCTAAACTCTAAAGTTACTATTTTTTCTTGTTCATAGGTGCTCGGTTTCGATGTGGACTTTATCAACACGGTGCAGTTTTCAAACCATACCGGTTAGTAACAGTTCTTTGCTTCTTTCGTAACTGCTTAGTAATTAGTATACGGATACTAACATATTTTATGTATTTCACAACCGTGGTCCCGTGAGCCCAGTTATTGTTGGTAATACCTGACAGTTTTAAATTAAGCAGTGTGATTAGAGACGTTAGACGCATACAATTGTATACGTATCCAAATTATTACAGTAATTTGCTTCATATTGTACATACCGGTGAATGGCGAGCTATAACAGTATCTCGTATGTGTACAAGTACGTGTGAATGAAAGTGTGCGTCTGCATTTTGGATTTTAGGTTATCCTGTCGTGAAGGGATCTGTTTTGGATGAATTATCTCTACAAGAACTGTATGACGGTCTGAAGGAGAACGATCTCGATAGGCAGTATAGTCATTTGTTAACAGGTGGGAAGCGGTAGTTATTGATCTGCGTAGTGTTTTCGTTAAGTATTTACTTGTTTCTGTTGACGTCTTTCGCAGGATTTGTTCGTTCGAAAGGCTTATTATGCAAGTTGGGGGATATTGCGAGAGATTTGAAGCGCACCAATCCATCTCTTGTTTACGGTACGGTGGTTGTAAGCGGAATCGATCCAACTGAGCTTGAGCTGTAGTGCTCGAGCTGTTTCATTAAACGTTTTCCTTGTGAATTTTTTTAAAAGCGTTTGAATTGCGCTTTCTTTGCTTCCGATGATACTGATCTATGTTTAGATCGGTTTGATTGAGTTAGTTTAGAACTTTGGTGATTGAACGTTACGAGCATATGAACTGTATCAAAGTGAAAGTAAACACAAGTTGAATTTTGTTCTGCTTCATATTACAGCAGTTTTAAAGCTGGAAGCAAAGTGACTTATTTAGAATAATAATAAATAAAGTATCGCGCTTCCTTTCCAGTGTGCGATCCTGTTTTGGGCGATCATGGAAAAATGGTCAGTACTTCCTGCCACAAACTGTTCGCGTGCAAGCACGCACTATACGCTTGGAGCTGATCAGAAGACAATTGGTTTCTTTTTCGGTGATTGACAGTATGTCAACGCAGATGTGTTGGAAGTTTACAGGGATACGATTTTGTCGCTGGCAGATATTATGACACCCAATCAATTTGAAGCCGAGTATGTTTGACAGCAGAGTGCAATCGATTTTGCTTGGTTAGACATCATCGAAGTAAGTAAGCACTTTCCTTTTTTGTAGACTCCTCTCTGACATAAGAATTACCGATGCCCAGAGCGCAGTGAAAGCTATGGATTGCCTACATGACAAAGGGCCTCGTACTATAATCATATCCAGCAGCGAATTAGGCAACGAAGAGGTTCTTGTCGCCTTTGCCAGCAGCATGACTGGTAATGCTTACACTTGTGTAAATGTAACGTAAGTGTGCCGTTTTGAGTCTAGTGATCCAATATATTTTTTTCGTAATACCTGCAGACGGGAAAACAGTACGCTATCGAATAGACATTCCTCGATTTCCAGCTTCTTTCAACGGAACCGGTGACTTGTTCGCTGCCGTTTTTCTTGCATGGCATACGAAAAGCGATGGCAATCTTCAACACTCTCTCGAAGCTACTGTGTCCACTCTGCAAGCAGTCATTCGCCGAACTCTGGCTAACTTATCAAGTATTGTAGTATTCCTTTTATTTTGAAGGTTTTTTCATATTGTCCTCATCATTCATGAATATCGTTTACGTTCCAGAAATTAACCATCAGGGAATACTTTCACCCAAAGATTTGGAACTTCGTTTGGTGCAAAGCCGAAGTGATATCGAACATCCGGTCATCTGTGTCAACGCTGTAGAATTGCTGACGCCAGCTGCTTCTGTAAAAGAATGACATTTTGTTGTGGAATTTGGGAGTCTCACAGTTAGTAGTCCGTTGCATGCACATTAAATTTTAGGATTTCTGATTCCGTGTATTTTCATCATTGTAAAGGTATTTATTCTTGGAGTCTTTCGATAGTGATGCTTCAGGATAATTTGACTTCCAGCTCTTTGAATTACGAATACGAAAACTTTATACGTGAGTAGTTTCCAGACCAGTGGTGAAAAATACCTGTGATAAATTTTATTGTTTGACACAAGGGTTCCGTAGATTTTATGGATACAAGTATTTGCAATGATAATTATTCAACAGAATTTATTCTGCAACACTGGATGGAGAAAAAATATAATAAATACAACTTTAAGATCCATTTTGAACTAAAACATTCTCGCCATCCACTCGGGAATTGGTGAAACCGTCTTCTTGGACAGGCTTTACAGCTAACAAAAGTTTCGCTTCATGCAATGAAACACCCAGAACTGCGGTAGCCTCTTGCAACGGACAAATCATATCTCTGGCTTTCTCTATGAAAGGCACGAAAAATTTATGATACGCATTTTCCAAATCTTCCACTAATTGTCCTTCTTTCCTTTCGAGCCCTCGAATAACGACACCAACATCAAATAACAAAGTGTTAATGGAGTGGATCACCGGTACTACCAGACTGCTCACAAAGCAGAACCGTAAGCGATTTAGGGCGTCCAGAATGCTGTTCCCCAGTACAGCCAACTGTGGATATTCCATCAACTCTACGGGCGGTTTCACTGCATTTTGTCGATCAGAAACATCAGAGGGGTACTTTGGCTGACTCCAAGGTTTTTTCTGAATCTTTGTCCGGACGGACGAGGTGAAGCTGCAAATATTGGAACATGACAAAGCTTACTGTTAACTACAAGTTTACAATAAAGCCTTCACACAATTTCGGTAAAGTGAACTATAAGAGCAACACCTTCATGGCTTCATGTGACAATAAAAAGACAAAAATAGAATCACACCAAAATGGTGTTTCAACAATGGATGTATCATGTATCAACTGTTTGAAATTAAGCACGTACTTGTCTACTGCATCACGGAAAGCGGTTTTCAGTTGAGAAAACAGGTAATCGATGAACACGCGGATGCACTCGGCAGACGAATTGGCACCAAATCGCGAAAACATCTCCATCAGACTCAAATACTGATTGAAGAGTGATTCCAAATGGCTGTTATCCACTCGAGGTAAAGATTTTGCAAACAATTTTGATAATTCGGAGACCTAAAGAGCAATTCAGAATTACTGTAACCACTGGAATTTCCCTCAGTCATCCCAAAGCTTATTAATTCAAGGGTGAACGCAGAAAACTCTGGAACAGCATGAACAGATTTTTTGTCAAATAGCAATCCTACCTCCTTATTTAGCCAGACATATGGAAGTATTCGCAAATCTGGTAATAATTCCGGGTTATCAGGAAATACGGACAAATACAAGTTGACCGTCTCAAAATAATGCAGCCGGCATATTTCGAGAATTTTAGATAACGTTTGGAATGTTTCCTTCTGCGGAACTGCACGCACAAGGCTTCCAATATAAACGCTTCGAGCCTAATAAATACAAACGAAAACCGATATCGATTCATAGATATCACAAAATATTAGGTTTAAAACCGTAACAGAATTTGGAAGCAACAACTAATTAACAATAACCCATATTAAATAGATAAGCAAGACCAACAAACCTTATATATACTCTACTGAATATTCTCTGTAATCGTTACCCAAGCAATAAGAACATTCAAATGTAGAAAATATTCGGCTGTATCACTTGCGTTATTAGTGGTAAAATTGCTTCAATATATAGTAACATTTTTAAATTATAATACGATACCTGCAGAAAGTCAGTGCGGACAAATTCTTCAACACTAACGCCAAGAGAGCTGCCAAGGCGACGCTGGAGCGAAACGGTTTTCAACGCTTCCAGCAACTGCACCGGAGAAGTTCGAAATTTATTCGACAATAAATTCATCAGCATCCACGCTCGCTTTCGCGTTTCCTCTACTAAATGCGCAACGATGGGTGCCTGGACAGCTTGGTGGTTCAGCTTATCAACAAACAAGATCAGATCCACAGCCTGCATCATCAATATCCCGAAATTAAATGAAATCACACTGCCACAAAAACCAAAAAACTAAAAAGTCATCTTATAGTTTTATTAGTAAGCAAATCGAATACATCACTGTATCACTGCCGAATAAGTTGTGACTTGTGAGTACCTCATCAAAAAGTCCGTTTTTAGCCAAATTCGTGATAGAGTTCGGAATATCCAGTAAATCCTGTATTTGATGCAGCTGCATAAACTGGTTACGCGACTGAGCAATCTGCTCATGATAGTCCGCAGCACGTTTCTCCAGCGCTTGACACAGTGTCTCGGCTTGCTTACAGTTTTGCAAACGCTCTTTTACACGGTTCTGGATGTTCGGGAGCTCTTGGACGACATCGTTAATTTGTGAGGCTGCAGTTAGGAGAACCGTGTAATTCTGTAACGAGATCGCTGGAATGTTTACCCATCCGTACAAACTAAAGTTTTTCACGGCTTGTGAGGGTCAAGCAGTTTACTGTTTACGTTTACCTTTCTTATAGACTTCTACACATACCTCGACAACTAAAGCAGTTTTTTCTTCGTGAAGTTTTGCAGTTGCTTCGTGCAAGCGAGCTTCTTCTGCATGCAGGATTTCCAAATTGCTCTGTAAAAGCTCACTGACATACTGAGCAGTAAGTTGGAGACGAGCATCGTCGTTTTGCGTCTCCGCTGGCAAGACGCCATCCGAAACTAAAAGATTCCGAAAAAATTCCAAGGGATCGAAACTATCTTCGATGGTCACGGAAGGATTCAAAGGCATAACACTAAATTCCCCCATGGCGTCCATGGAAATCAGGAAAACGCAACGATAAACTGGATAAATGGCTTATAGACGAACACACGCATCAAAGGTTTTACAAGTAATAACTACAACTCCTGAAATCCGATTTCCATTTTTTATATCACAAATTATTTGCATTTGCCGATTTCGAATTATTAATTTTTGTGGTTGGAGAAACAGCTGGAAAGTAGAACCGTACGGGGACATGCATTTGAACCGCGGTGACGTCGGCAGGGCACAACTCAAGCCGCCATGCGGTCAAGGTAGCATCAAAGTCATTTTTGAATCGTGTATGAATCGAATTATACAGCGAATGGTTTTGACTTCTACGTTTTACCACTTTTATTGTTATTTTCATTATGACTTAATAAATGCATCTCATTATCATGGTAGTACTTATGGCAATACGTAAGTACTCTACACGTAGACTTAGTAGAGTACAGAACGTACTGCAACAAGTACTACGGCTACCATAGAAAAGGATAATAAATAATAATAGAGTATTATCTATTCTATGGTACTCGTATAATGGTATTACCGGCAGTCCCGGCATATTGGAGCATACTCCAGCGTGCCGGGACTGCCGGTTGTTCTGCAGCCACGGTTTTAAAAACCACAAGTACGAACTACGTATTAAAAGTTAAAGGCAAAGGCAGGTGTCAAAGGTTTTCATATAGCCAAAAAGGCAAATAAGAAATTAGCGAACGTAAAACCAAGGTACATATATCTATATAATAATATAAGAGATGAACTCCTTTATACGTACCGTGGTAAAACCAATTGGCAAATGTACAGTTCCCACTTCCCAGGTAAAAAGATATTAATTTTACAGTGTAAGTTCTTAAAGACTGGCCCAGCAACATTTCCCTGTGATTTACGCCAGTTCAGACGTTTTACGTGGTGTTTAATGTAGTTCTGATGTTTGCGCTCTGACGAACGACAGTAATTTTTAAATTACCCGGAATTAAGCCGATTTAATTTGCGTATTTTATTTTAAGAAGACGTGAGTCAAAACTAAATTGTAATAACTAGTAACACCAAACCATAAACCATTACTACCAAACCAGCAATGCAGTTGCTCAAGTTATCAACTGATTATAACCCACAAAAAGAGACGACTCACACTGCTAGCGCAAGTCATGGTAATTATAAATATTACAGAGATGATCCTTGAAGAGATTTCTGTTAACAAAATTAGGAACACGAGAATACCAGCACAACTGTAATGTGTCACAACCAGGTACATAAATAACAACGAAGAACAGCGACACCATTAATTATTAATACAGCCAATAGCCATGACATGTTTGTAGACTGAGATGCAGAAAACCGATTTTCGCTGACAACTTTTCAGTACAGCCCCACGTCCTTCAGCTGATTTTTAATGATAACATCGGTTACGGAATCGAAGACGAATTCCATATTATTCGTATCGGTGGCACACGTAAAATGAGAGTAGATCTCTTTGTCAGGATTGTGGTTAAGCAATTCAAAGCGCATTTGAATGTATGCAGAAGCCTCTTCATAGCTATTTCCTCCATGGTACTCCGGAAAACACACCGTCAGAGGTGAGCGGTGAATTTTTTCTTCGAATAAGTCTTTCTTGTTCAAAAACAGAATGATGGAAGTTTCAATAAACCAGCGATTATTGCAGATGGAGTCGAACAGTTTCATCGACTCAAACATCCGATTGACCGTTTCATCTTCCTGTAGCTTCATATCATAGCAATTCATGGCTACACAAAAGATGATAGCGGTTACTCCTTCAAAACAGTGTATCCATTTTTTGCGTTCTGATCGCTGCCCGCCGACATCAAAGAGTTTGAAACTAACTCCTGAAAAAAATAAAACGCAAAGCTGCAATCTGGGTACCTTAAATACGTACTTAAATATGCAATAGACTTTCCAACGAAACTATACAAGCAAAAGTTTTCATAAAACAAGCCAAAACCTTGAGTGTCGACTGCCAAGCGTCTCCATGAATGAAAATGAGATAAAAACAGAAACAGAATTTTTTTCCTGTGCTATAAAATCAAAATAAAGTAATATAAGTTAACTCGATAAAAAACTTACAGCGGTAATCTAAGCCGGTTCACTTTGACAGCGCCGGCTAAGTAAATAATTAAAAGTGCAGCACACATCCGATCTGCTATTTTTAAAACGCCGACATATCTGATTACAAATGCAGAATTGTGAATGAATCTAGCACATATCCATGTGTACAGATACATCATACATCAGCGTTATGTATTATAACATTATTAAAGGACGTTTTTGCTCACTTGTCAGCTTACAGAGACGAGCAGATTTACAAGGCATATGCAACCCCAGTGCCCCACCAGTACCTACAAGCACGCAAGTTCCGTTGTACCGCCGCCGTAACTTACGGTATTGGTTTTGTGCGCGCTTCCAAGCGTACTTGTACAGATTTGTGGAAAAGGTTTTAGCAATTCGCCCAATCACGAGTACAAAAATATTCAGTTTAGAAATTCACTCAAAGAAACATACCTTTAAATTCAAAATGAGTTTCGATAATCCCGGTAGTTTTCACTCGTGTGCGAAGCACATCCTGTTGGGTGGGAATGTACGCCGGATTGGCTAATCGGTCCAAGGAATTCAGATAATAACTGGCTGAATCGTTCAGCTGATATTCTTGACTACGCGAATAGCATTCCTGTACACCGCGATCTAACCACAATCGCTTCATAGTCATGGCTAATTCCGGTGTCATTTCGCCATCCTGAAGCTGCAGACACATGGAGAAAAACAGCCGCGCATCTTCCGATCGCTGGCGTTCAGCAAAATCAATACGCAACTGACCCATTGCCCGAATGATGGCCATTAAAGACTGAATCGTATTATTGTACACGACGCCTTTGTAATTGAGACATTCCGACTCGCCATAGCCGTGATCGTGAATAATTTTCATCTGCTTGACAATCGTGCTCTTCCCTGATTCACCAGCACCGAGAAGCAACAGTTTAACTTCTCGATTGCGACGTACTTCATCCGCCCGTATTCCCCGATCGATCTGTCTGCTTTTCTCCACGGCTTGTTTATCTTCGATACTTTGGGCACAACCCATTTTTTATGCCTACAAAGACAGGCATTCCAAAATATTTTGCAGTCAAATTGCGTTTTCACTCAAAAGATCAGAATAGTATCTTATAACAATCTTAATTATTACCACATCAACAACATACTCTTATAACGTGACTAGATATTTGTATTCCTTGTACGCGAGAAAGAGTGGATCGTGGATCGAAAAAACAAAGTGAAACCTCGTACAGTAGTACTCGAAAAAAAAACTTTCAAATTTCGAGTTAGTATTATTAACAAGCAATAATTAAAAGCGCAAAAATGATCATAATGGCCACTGTTCTTACCAGCTCAGGCCCGCAAAGCGTGGAACGAGTCCGACACGGATGGACCCAATCGAACAATTAATAGATAAGTGGTAAAGTGGGCATACAATCACTCAACTGATGAGCAGAATAATATGCTCATCAATCCAAATAATAGCTAATTCTGCAAGGTTTGAATATAGCCAACGCTGTCCCCACTCAAGCTGTCCACTTTTCACCTTCCGCACTTCAATCACTTCGAGAACTCCTGGGGCAATCCAATGAATCGAATATTCAAACTGAACCGCATAGTCAGTTTTCGTGAAACTGAATTACAAAAAACAGATCTGAATTACATCCGGTGAAACTGAAGCCTACGATATGCAAACATAGTAGCCAAGTTTAACAGATAATAATAGTTAATAATAGTTATAATGAAAATAACAATAAAATTATGAAACCATTCGCAGATTCGCTGTATAATTTAATACACCATTAAAAGTTGATTGGATTACTTAGAAATTGATAAGCAAATTCTCGCACTACATATTGACCACTCGGACCTTGGTGCATCCGAAATAACGTACTCGATGCTCATTCAAAACTTAATCATTAGTAAGTTACAGGTACCCGATGGCCGATCGGATTGTTTAAATAAACATGCAATACGGCCAATACCTGTTGACTGTTGCTCCAATACCTGTTGCAACGGAGTGCTCCGCCGTTGGAACTTCGACCGTCTTCCCTAACAACATTCAGTTCCTAGCAAATTTCTCGCTCAAGATTCCGCCGTTATTGAGTGCAATAAATTGAGTACTTAAATGATATGCAGCAGCGAGAAATTCGTACGACGCTGATCCGAGAATAAATTTTTAGCCGTTATACGATTGAAACGGCGAAACTTGTTTTCAATAGGTCGACTGACTTTTTGTTGAATCAGCAAATATGCACATTCGTCCCCACATGCACAGGTGTGCGATGTGCATGTTAGATTCGGAGGGCGTGGTTAGCGTGGGCTAAACTAGTAACTTAAATCCCCCTTGTTTTGCTCCTTTTTCTCTGGCGCACACCTAAACATCACCTAATCCCTCCAGGAGGATTAGATCAGCCGTGATGTTTAGGACTGGCGCACGAGTCCACGACAATGGGAATTTGTGAGATCCCGGGACGAGCACCGAAGCTGTTTGCACTGTGCAGTGCTGCATGCACTTTAAGTTTAATGTAAGAGTGTAAGACTTGATAATACTAGTATAGAAGGTCGTAACCGCCCTTAGTGCAAGCGAGCGTGCGTGTAAGATTTTTTTGTGCAAAAGCTTCGTTGGATAAAACACCAACAAGAGTAAACATGCGAGTGTCTGTCTTCTGTATCATATGCTGATGCCATATCAGAAAGCTTTTTACGTCAGACGTGCTGTGCTATGTCGGTCATGGCACCGACTTTCAGGATAAGACGACGGTGTTTGTTTGTACATTTTTTAAAGGGCATAAATAGAGTATGAAGTCTGCTGTAAATTTTAATAAAAACCCACAGGAAAACCCGATAAACGGTCACGTACAATACTGGTCAGAGCCGGCTTAGTGAGATCAGCCGAAGATTCTTCAACTTGACAGCCGCAGCCAGCCGAAAAGCAGTGCAACACCTGGCGGCGTAAGGGGTGGTCATGAAAAAGCAAAGAGAAGCAAAAAAAACGAAACGAGCAAAGCTTTATTTAAAATAAAATAAAGAAGAAATACATTCCACCCAGTGGGATGTACTTCTGTTGTGACTGCTAGAGACGAGAGCAGTCCGTCCTTTGCACGGAAAGCGTAGGCATAAGCCATTCGAAAGGAAAAGTATGATTTGTACTACAACCAAAAGTAGTAAATTAACTCTTAATGGCCTGACATATTTTTATCCGTTAACGCCTAACTGCATCAAACTGATACAAGTGCTAGCCATTGGTCTGTTTGGCGCTACTGACAAATGAAAGGGAAAATAGATCTGAAAGGGACACAGAGAGGCTACTGCACCACACCGTGTTCAGCACACTTATCAGAGTTTAATCGCAAGAGTCACGTTACAGTTACACGCCCGTAATTATTTTATATTGAGTACAACTAATTAACATTCTAAAACACGAAGTTAAAGTAAGCAAATGTAGAAGTCAAACTGCAAAGAAATCCACACTCCACAATGTTATCGGTCACTCCAGTGTCTCAGAATCAGAATCTGTAATATTAATGATTGTGATTTCATGGCCAACAATTACAATACTAATAATTATTAATTTTAGCGAAAATAATAAGCAAAAAAATAACATTAACTGTTACCTAGGTTCCCCTTTGCACACAGCTGGCACAAACGAATGGTGTGCTTGCCGCACACTGGAACTTGACATCCGGCACAACACGTTGATGTGCAGGAAGTTCGCCTCTCGCTATCGTAGCATGGTTTGCAGCGAACGCGTGAGGTCAGTTTTGTTAGTACTGCCGGGGAAGGTTCAGCGGATTTAGTAGGCAAAGGAATTTCCAAAAAATTCAGAACAACGTCAATCTGACACTTAATGTCGATATGCAAAGTCTTCACATTTCGGCGGTTTAGTAGTTGGGGTGTAATTAACGCATATCCGACTTTCCGCAAAAAAGTACGGCGTCTATGAGGCGAAGCAATATTCCAGCCGGGGTTGATGTTATCCCATATTACGAAACTGTTATGCAAAGACACGTCAACAATCCCAAAGAACACGGCCATTGGCCAACGTCGGCACTTTCGCTTTACGCTGTTGTAACTGATGATCTGGTCTAATAAATCTACGCCAGCTTTTCCTTTGTTGTAGTCCAGAATTATTTCCGGCTTGTTTAGCTGTTTTCCGTCATTGTTCACCAGTGTTTCATCGATCTCGCTATCATGGTGCAGCGTGCTCAATAGGATTACAGCCCTTCGGGCGCGCGGCACATATGAAACAATGGTATATTGTTCGTGGTAGCCAAACAAGCTGGAATACACTGCACGGTCTTTGTGTGGCAAGAACTGTAGCGGAACTTCCGCTTTGTTTTTTCTGATGGTGCCAATCAATGTCATATTACGTTCCCAAAGTTTTTCGGCCAATTGCAGACTCGTAAAAAAATTATCCATATAAACATTTCTCCCCGAGTTGCAACCAAAAGGCTCCACCATATCCATTACCACCCGCTGTCCCTGATTTTTTTCCGGTGGTCCATCGGTGGTTCTACCGACGTAGATTTGGAAATTCAAACAGTATCCATTAATGTCACAAACCATAAAAATTTTAAGGCCGTATTTACTGCGGGGCTTATTGGGCATATACTGCTTGAAATGACAACGGCCCTTGAACGGGAGCAGCTGTTCGTCGACTGTCACATTCTCTCCCGGCACGTAGTTTGCAAACAAAAGCGGCACCCATAAGTTCAACACATTGCGAATGTGTGTCAGTTTGTCTTTTTTGACAAAGGCATGACGCGATAAGGGATCATCAAAGCGAAGAGCAACGAGAATCTGCTTAAAACGGTCACGAGACATTACGGCTCCATATAACGCTCTTCCTTCCGCTTTGCTCCACAGCTCATGTACAGGGTGGCAGTTATCATTATTCGCTGCTTGGAGAATGAGTAAACCTAATGAAATAATACTTATCTTATTTATTATTATATTATTTGCTGATCATTGATATATTAATTATTATATCGTTTATTAATTTAAGTATTGTTTATTGGTAATAATTACTTTTATCGCGCACAAGGAACGGGATTGTTGTTTACTTACCAAGAAACGCATCAAGTTCCTGAGGTGTTAATACTGGCCAATCAGAAAATAAACGTGGTCCGTGCATGTTGGTGAACTGCAGCAGTACGTTTTTGACCTCCACAGTTAAAAATAACCGGAAACAGTCTGCCGGTGTTTCGATTCGGGAACGGATGTGGGATGGTACACCCGACTTTCCATTCATTAAATTTTGCGTGCGTGTTTTCGTGTTAGGTTCAGCGTAGCATTTCCAACTGATACCGCTACGCGACACATATTCCTCGTCGTTTAAAGTGTATAAAAAATCTTCATCATCCGATTGTTCATCATCTTCCGAATCATTCTGCTCATATTCACCATCAGGTTCATCCAACAGCTCTTTATCGGTAGAAGGAATATCATCGATATCCGAATCACAATTACCCGCATCATCAGATATGTTATCATGCAGTAATTTTCGTTTTCTTGACGGCATTTTAAAAATCACAATACCGCTAATCAGCTTACATTTCAAAATAAATTTTAGGGAATCAAATGAATGGTTAGAACGATAAGCAGGTTGTGTAACGTTTCTACGACAGTAGTGATAAGACGATACCTATGCAGTGACCTACCTATGCGGCCAGTCTTGCATAGAAAAGTTAAATGCTTTCCCTTGAGCCTACTTCTCTGTAGGACAAAAGAAATTCTATTTTCCGAGGCCGGCCTACATTCTCATCCGGCATAACGACACCATCGCGGATCCAAATTTTTTTCACAGCTGTTCGCAAAAGTACTACTTTCGAAACTTGCTCATACACAGCGCAGACATTTTATACAACAGCCAGGATTTATCTCACATACAAATGTCGCGCCGTTTCTTTGTGCTCACAATTTGTCTTACTTCCGGGAAAACCTGTATCACTTTGATACACCTGTTTTTCTGGAAGACCTTAAGTTTTTAAATTTTTCAAAAAATGTTAAGAGTATGCTATCAGTACCTACATAGCATACCACGGGAGAAAAACGCCTAATTTTACTTTGTTGGGTGTGTACTGTTCGTTTTCAATTGTGATGTATCAGTTTTACGATGTCAGGCCATTAAGGGTTAAGTAAAAACAAAAAAAAAGGTTAAAGGGAACTACTTATAATGGAAATTGATAAAGTAACTGGCAGTTAACCAACGTGAATGAATAAATGCAAAACCAACTTTTCCTGAACTAAACATTTTTGAGTCTCAAATTCTGGGATGCCAGAGTGACTGCAGCCAAACATCAGCCGTGGGTTTTGATTATCTTGCGCGTACTGTCATGCGGAAAATTTGAAATAGCAGAATTTGGTTCCGGTAATAGGAAAAGTAAAAACCAGATCTGCGTGGATTTGTTTGGAAATGGTGGTTTGCATTGGACAGGGTATTTATTGCATATTTGACACCTCAGTTTTTTGCGTTTAGTGGCGTGGCTATCTGGTTGCGGTGGTTGCAAGGTGAAGTATTTCGTGGCACAAAAACTTCGCAACCCGTAATCGATTGTAAATGAGGTCAGTTTGCCACCCTGAGTCAGCCGGGTGTAAACTTAAGTAACCAACGTGGTAAGCATACCAAGGGTCTAACAGGTTGACCTTGTTTTTTTCTGTTTTCCCCGTGGTGATGGGGAAGACGATCTGCCGTCACATCAGGACTTTGATATTTTGATAACGATATCTGTATCTTTGTGCCATGTCTGGCATAACACTTTTATGCCATAGTAATTGGAGCCGTCCACCCAGTAGCTTTTATTTCTTTCACATCTTTACGGGTATTCGAATAGCCTGAACTGCAATTTCCGCGCATAAAGGCCTGCCATTTTTAGTAAAATTTCACGGGACCTTTGTTTTCATGAAAGGTACAGAGATCTGACACTCCATAAACTCTATGTGGAGGACAACTGGCCTATCTTCCTGCTTGATGTCTTCTTTCAAAGGTGTTGGAGAGCCAGAGATAGCCGAGTGATCCGCTTTATTTGCGTTTTTTCAAAACTGTCCCGGGATATCTGGTAATCTGAATCCAGCGGCTCGATAGTAAAACGATGCGGTTGCTTACAAAAATTTATGGCTGCTTCTTTCGAGTTTTGTCCGTTCCTTCGACGAGACACTCCGCTGCCGCGGATGCGATAAGTGTTTAGGACGTCGTCATCGCACCCTGGATAAGCGTGGCATGACGTTTCTTTTTACCACGAGATCCGTACTCTCGAGGTGGGGTTAACGACAACAAATAGTTTGGACGTTATAGTGGCATCAGAGGCGTCTGCCACTTTAATGGAAAACAAATGTCAAACTATCTCGTCGTACTTGCAGTTCCGGATCACAAGGTTACTGTTCAAGTGCCGAGTTGCTCGGCGGAAGTTCCTGATCGACTTGGGATACACCAGCTTCTTCGTGGGACGCTAGTTTTTATGGCTCACATGAACAGCCATTGTGCCGACACCTGCAACGTTTCAAACAGGGTTATCTTTGTCCAGCGATTTTAAAGCGGGTTCAGCAGTGAGATCAGGGGCAAATGGCCGATAAATGGTCTTTCTCATTGTCTACAAAAATTTTACGAAGGATTTGCCAAGGCTGGACCCGGATTAATGATTTACTGCCGATCCGCACTCCCAATCTGCAAAACAACTTGATCTATTGTCTTTCCCGCAAATCGTCGGAAAGAACGGAGCTGACCTCTAACACAAACTCCAGATAAACTTAATGGGGGTCCACTAAACGATTTCCCCTGCAATCGTTTATTCGTTTTTTAGAATTCTGCGTTGGATTCTTTACCTTCAGGCTTTGGAAACGGTATCCGGTGATTGCGAGCAACGGCTTTAGGTAAATTGTGGTCATTGGGGCAACTACAAATTTTTTTGGAGCCCGATTTTGAAAGGCGGTACAATTCAGAGTCCTACTTGAACTGTTGCCGTTGTCGAGATGCGGGGTCCACTGGTGGCTCAGTCACCGGTCTAGATTAAGCAGCCAACCAAGGTTCTTGGTGAAGCTGATAGCGCGATCGGGTTTTCTTGTGTATTTGATGGGTTCTGTCACAACCTTGTCGCACCTGACCACGTTCCAGGTGGGCAAAAGTTTCGCACTGGCAGTTGACCTAACCTATTGAATTGCCGCGTTTTATCTCCTAAATTTTTTATTTTTCCGGTCTGGCAACACCAGTTTCTTAAGTGTTTTCAGTCTTTTTGGAGACTCGGCCGCTCATTCGAGGGATTAGGTTTTCGACTACCCTGTCGAACATGGTTGATTCGATCATTGATGGGGTGAGTCGCAGTCTACAGATAGCAACGGTACTACCGTAGCAAAGTGAGCAGCGGGTAAAACGGCTTTGACTGAGCCGGCTCGAATGAGAAATGTGGCCGACCCCGATGCCGTGCCGTTAAACGTGCTAGGATTCTCAGCATGCCGGTAAGCAAGTCGATGTCTGACAAAAGCTTACACAAAAAAAAAGTTTGAAAGTCAAATCTTTAGATTGGGTCAAGATTTAAGGCTTCGCCACTTATTAGTACGGTGAGTTTGTCATTATTGCGCAGGTGGTTATCCATGTGACGGTCCTTCGAAAACACGCTTCCTAGACCGGGTCAAAATTCCCGGACCGGGTCAAAATTTACGGCCCCGCCATACATTAGTACAGCGAGTTCGTCAATAATGCCCGGGTGGTTCCCCGTGTGACGCTTCCTCCAAAACGCGCCACCTGGGCCGGTCAAAATTCCCGGACCAGGTCAAAATTTACGGCCCCCCATACTTTAGTACAGTGGGTTCGTCAATAATGCCCGGGTGGTTCCCCGTGTGATGGTTCTTCCAAAACGCGCCAACTGGGCCGGTCAAAATTCCCGGACCGGGTCAAAATTTACGGCCCCCCATACTTTAGTACAGCGGGTTCGTCAATAATGCCCGGGTGGTTCCCCGTGTGACGGTTCCTCCAAAACGCGCCACCTGGGCCGGTCAAAATTCCCGGACCGGGTCACAATTTACGGCCCCGCAATACTTTAGTACGGCGGGTTCGTCAATAATGCCCGGGTGGTTCCCCGTGTGACGGTTCTTCCAAAACACGCCACCTGGGCCAGTAAAATTCCCGGACCGGGTCAAAATTTACGGCCCCCCATACTTTAGTACAGCGGGTTCGTCAATAATGCCCGGGTGGTTCCCCGTGTGACGGTTCCCCAAAACGCGCCACCTGGGCCGGTCAAAATTCCCGGACCGGGTCAAAATTTACGGCCCCGCCATACTTTAGTACGTCGGGTTCGTCAATAATGCCCGGGTGGTTCCCCGTGTGACGGTTCCTCCAAAACACACCACCTGGACCGGTAAGTACTGATAAATTTTGTGGTACCTTCTCAATTGCTTCAGCGGGGGGCTGCGCCCCCCGCACCCCCTGCTTATTGGGGCTCCGCCCCAAACCCCGGCCAGGGGCTTCGCCCCTGGACCCCGGGGACCCAGCTCTTCGCGTGACGCACTACAACTTAAAAACGCTCGCTCGCTCGCTTGATTGATGGCCTAATGTAAAAAATTTCAGAAAGTGAATTGTTATCGTGAATTAATCCGTGAAATCGAAATTTTATCTGCATCAATGCCAGGGCAGTTGAGCAAGGGCAGTATAAGCATTCGAAAAGCGTAGGAAAATCAAAGATAGCAAACAATTCATGTGATAACGTCCGCACTCAAGCACCAGAATCTGATCCGATCGGAAAACACCTAATTTGGTACGAGATCAGAAGAGTTTCGTGCGCTTTCACATTGCCGTGTTATTTCACTAGTTTCTTCTTCTTTGTGGGCGTATTCTTGCCGGTAATCGATGATTCTGTCCCTGTCTGCAAATGTTTCCGCACTCGTTTTCCGCATTTCGGCATTACCGATTCATTCCCGCTTTCGATTGGTAACTCTTTTTCTTCGACAGTAGCTGATACTTTCTCCATTACAGCGGCCAAAAAGGCATCTAGTTCGTTTGGAATAGGCCTTATCGCTAAGGCCGTTATTCGGCATCCTGTATTCACCACACCCAGGATTCTCCAGGTTTTCTGCAGAGAGAAAACAAAAATTATTCCGGCTGGCAGTTGCCAGTTAATAAGCAATTTTCAGTTGACAAATGACCGTGCCTGTGTCATATCAATGTTCCATGCCTTAACTGACTGATCGGATGAGGCAGTGATTAAAAATAAAGCATTTTTTTCTAAAACGATAAATTCCGCTCCCCGAATTCTCGACTCGTGTGCAGGAAATTCAAGGATAACGGATTTCGAGTCCACAGAAAACAAGCTGATTTTTCCAGTTCCACTTCCACATAGCAGGATACTGTCGCTAATAAACGAGACAGTTTCAAGCTTTTCCGGAAATGTATGAGCAAGGATGCAATCCGTGGACTACGAACAAAAAAGACCGATGAATTCAGAAAGCGCGGAAATACAGTGAGGCTGGACGAAATGTTGGAAAGGAAAGAATGCTCACCGACAGGTTAAATATCTCTACACAAGCGTCCCGCTTCAGTACATAAAATGTCCCAGTCGGACTAAACCGGATTGAGTCGAAGCTTTTCCGTAAATTTCTTATGAACGAATATTTTCCGGCAACCAAATCCCATACAATCAATTTGTTATCACTGCCAACCGATAACGCTAACTTTTTTGAAGGGTGAATATCAAATGACAGCACAGCACCCCTAAAAACGGATATATAACCAAAGCATTTTCGCATTCCGAAAGTTGAAGAATAAAATCATAAAGCCTTACTTATGGCCCTTGAAAGTGCGCTGCAATTCCCATATCCGTGCTCTCCACATGCGGATGGTGCCATCGGTGCTGGCACTGTATAAAAAATCTTTCCCAGCGAATCTCACGCACGTCACATCTCCTAAACACATAACGAAACTGTGAAGGTCCAACTCGGGAATAAAATACTGGAACGGAAATTCAAATTTGCGATTCTGTCATTCTGCTTACCTTCGTGGCTAACTAAAGAGCCCACATCAGCCCCGTGCTCCAAATCGAGAATATGAATGGTTTCGTCTGTGCTCCCGGATACCAGAAAACCTTTCTCCGAAATTGAAAGGCACCTGATACATCCAATTTGAGAAACGTCCGAGAAACGCGGTTCGAAAACCTACAAACGGCGATATTAATTTCGTGACGCTGACCAGCAATAACCAAAAAAAGCATGACTATCCGAAACACACAGCAAGCCAACCACTATAGTTCCCAGGAATATGTTTCAGTTGGATAACCACGATCACAGAAATATGATGCAAGTACAAGAAAGTATTAAAATAGGTAGGTAGTCTTTTTCAACTTACCAATACCGCTGGAAACTCTCCGCTTGTTCCTTCACTCGTCGGTTTCAAACGATACCCAACTTTCGCAGAATCATACGACCCAACGACAATCTCCATGACTGTCGACGAAATCTTGCTTGTTCAATAGTCAGTGCTAAGTAGCTGGCACATTCGTTGTACTTCTTCAGTTTTTCGTAGTGCGAAGTGAGAACTGTAAAGTTCTTTTGGAAAATGGAAAGTTTGTTAAATTGTTAATGGATCCTATCTACTCTAAATTTCAAAGGAAATTTAATAAGAGGACGAACGGAGAGCGATTGCGAAATCAGCTTCCGGTCAAGCAAACGCCGTACCATGGAGGTGGACATTAGTCTCTAAGTCAAGAAAGGGAAATCCCCCCGCGGAGAATGGTAAGACTCCGACGTCCGAAATACGTTTTTATTCGACTCAGAGATTGGACGTTTATGCTCTTTATAGTGAAATAATAGGGGCTTTGCGTTGCAACTTGTATGTCACATAAGTTAGCACCCATCTACATAAGTAAGACTTCCGGCCGTCGAAATTGGTTTGTGCGTATGGCTTGAAACGAGCTGGTGTGCGGCACGCGTGTAGATGTGACCAGCTCGCTCATAAACACACAAGTAGCCGACCTGACTGCCAGTCAATCTCCAAAACTTGCAGCACGCTTCTTTCGTTTGCCTCAACAGAACTTCCCAATCGATATATCAAAGATAGATTAATTTTCAAACTTTTTGGTATACAGCAAATGGAAATCTATGGCAAATCAAGAAAGTTATGGCTGTTTTGGTTTTTCGTAAACAAAGCATAGGCCCGTGTGAGGAGGCGTTGCTTGCATCCTATGCTAAGTCTATGAGAAACTAAAACAGCCATAACTTTCTTCATTTGTCATAGATTTCCACTTGTGTATACCAAAAAGTTTGCAAATTAATTCTCTATCTTTTGATATATCGATTGGGAAGTTCTGTTGAGAAATCAACGAAAGACGAGCGTTTGAAATTTCGAGATCCACTGGCAGTTCGATCAGTTTCGTGTATGTATGCATGCTAGGGGTGGAGCTACATACATACGCGTAAGGCTCTTACGAGTATGCATTTTTGGCACCGCCCTCACACAAGCACACATCTAATTTGCGCGGCAGCGAATCGCCGCATTGTGGGTTCGGCCATGGCGTAACTTGTATTGATGGGTCCTTAGTTGTGTAGCATACAAGTAGCAACGCAAAGCCCGGAATTATTGCTAAGAACAGTAACGAAAATCGTTATTAGAGAGTAGATAAAAATACGAACGAACATTTTTTCGCCGGGATCTTGTGTCGCTTTACTCAAAATGAATAACATAAAGCAACAAATACTGCAACCGAGTCAGCCTGATTACCTAGGCTTTTTGTATTCGGCGATGGTTGCTGCTGGAGGGATTGCTGGTTATGCCAAAGCAGGTAAGACATCACACATTTGCTACTCCTAGTCGTGTGTATACGAAGTTTTCAGTGTTGTTGTCCACTTGATGTTTATATGTGTAACATATTTCATAATTTGTGGTTTGAATCCATACAGCTGTGGCAGCTTCTGATCGAAATCTGTTATAGGCAGCGTTCCTTCATTGGCCATGGGATTGCTGTTCGGTGGAATTTTGGGCGCAGGTTCATATATGGTTTCCCAAAACCGGAATAACGTGCTGCTTTCGACAGGTAGGGTTGGCGTCATGAGAGCAAATTTAAAATTTGGAGAAAAAACAGAGTTTTGCTATTTAAGGCTGCTTCGATATTTCCTTTAATATTTTTAAATTGCTTTGATATTTCCTGTGTGCGTAATTTGGTATTGGTGACATCACGTTTACAGTTGCTCAATCTTGCATGGAAGCGCTCAATACAAAATTTATGTCAAGGGATTCTTGCAATAATCATCTTTGTTTTTAGTTGCAAGTGGACTTTTAGCCGGTGTAATGGGCTCACGCTTTTATAAGACTGGAAGTTTTATGCCAGCTGGGATGGTTGCAACTCTGAGGTAAGCGATGAACGACGAATATCTGTAATGTTCGTGGTTGTCACTGGTTCCACTATTTTGTATCAATAATACTCGTAGTATGTAAAAGATGTAGCAGGTACTTTTTATACCGAAATCAAGTTGCAGATTTTCAAATCTTACAGCTGTTAACATTGTTCTAGTGTGCTGATGCTGCTTCGGTATGGGCAGTATTACATCCGGAAGTAACCAGAACGAACAGAATTGGACACCGGTCTTTGATATTTGTTACACGTGCTAATTTTATATTAGTGCACGTCCGCTCTGTACTGTTTCCTGCAAAACTGGAACACAATTCTGTTGTAGAATTCGGAATTTGGTTGAGATTTCTTACCTTATTAGACTCCATCTTAATATGAAACTATGGAGCATATATACTTGCGAAATGCACAGAAATGCGGAAAAGACTCACGATTATTTTTGTTGCACAGCTGATCACATCATGAATACGTATGTGCCGAAGAAAGTGCGAGCCATCAGCATACGCGGTTGTTTGACAGAACATTAAATAACGATCACGGTTGTGCGCCAAATACATAACTCATCACTCGAAATAACAGAACGATGGGTCGACAACTAAATTAAAAAAACAAAAATGTACAATAAAATATGTACCGAGTAGTCTAAGAATACGTCCAGGACTGCGTCACTGCAGCATATCAATGGCATCTTCCCAGTTTAAACTGTCGGCGAACTCATTATTCCACACTTCTCAAGGAACGATCTGGCTTGATTCGGGATTGTCACTCATCAGACAAGCCGGATGCCATATCTTACAAGCATCAAAAGACTGCAAAACATTTAAGTAAGGCATTTTAATTAGTGTAAATCTGCGGAAGCATACCGATATTGCACTGGCTGTTACATAATAAAATTATGTTAAAGTAAAGCTCATACACACTGGAGAAGCAAATTAGCAACCATAAAATTAATTTAAAAGTGAATTACGCATGCTGGCACCATGACAGACGACATCCATAAGCGTTAAAAACTCACAATTTTTTCGAATAACCAGCGCTTACTTAACTCCTCCTTTTCAGTACAAAATTTTTCTGAAATTGTATTAAAATTTAATACTGTAATAAGTATTTAATTTTGAAACATTTTCGGCCTGCAACAATAAATCAAGTGATACCAACAGTGCATCAATCTACTGGATTTCGTTGATGGACAAGAACAAGCAGAGCAAATTATACACACTTAACACTTTCATCTGCAGTGTGCTGTTCAGGACTCACCTGATTAAGCAAACCATTCCGGCAGGCATAAATTTTCCAGATTTATTAAAACGGAGTCCCATTATCGCTGTTAGAAGGCCACTCGCAGCTACAAAATGAAATTTAGCTTATAGCAAAGGTACGAGGATGCACGCAGTCAAACCGACAGTAAATTTTTTCAGCGAGACCAACCGACAACCGTGCATATAGTGCAAGCGACTGCCAACCATCCACGGATGGCTGTCACCTGTTCCACGCATACAGTGCAAACGATACCTCCCTTTCACGGGTGGCTGTTATGTTAAAAAATAATTTGCCTGTGTGCGTGGTTGTCGGTTGGTCTCGCTGAAAAAATTGACTGTCGGTTTGACTGCGTGCATCCTCGTATCGCAACGATTCGCAAGTGGTATGTTTATGAAGAGAATATTATTAGTGCAGAGCAGTAATTCTCGAAATTCAGCGCTTTTAGTGATACTCGTTACATAAAGACAAATAATAACTAATAATTACTGCACACTGCAATAATAAACTGATCACCAAAGTGGTTATCTAGCTCTAATTAATAAGCCCACCTGTTGAGACCAGCACGTTTCCGTAGTCGTAACTGGTCAAATACGATCCTAACCCGAGTAATGCTCCGAACAACAGCCCCATAATCAAGGAAACTATGCTTTCTGTGAACAAACAAATTTAGAAAGTCTGGTTACAACTAATACTCTTAATAGTAACTACAATTAAGAAAATACCAGTTACTACTTCAATTATGAAAACTGTATAATGTCTACACTCTACACGTCTACAGACTACAGTTTACTGTTTACATACTTTTTTTGGCATATCCTGCCAGTCCTCCGGCTGCAACGACCGCGGCGTACAGAAATCCAAGGTAATCAGGAGATACGGGCGCTACTGGAGGCATCTTACTGATAATTTTTATAATCGCTGTTGACTTTCGTTAACTTGGGTCTTAGCCTCCTGGGTACCTAAACCTTAAAACAAGTACTCTGTAGTATTTGTTGCTATCCCAAAATAAAAAACCAACACTATTAAACACTGGACCAACAGGAAATAAAATGAAGTGCAACACTGCAACTGTAGCCACGCTGGCATCGTGACGGCATGGACGCCCGCATTGAGGTAGGAGTTACTCGTACTTACGTTTTTACTGAAATTTGCGGTAGCCTGGTCAGATCAAAATGTAGTACACTGGCGTATAGCGACTGTCTGGCCGTCACGACTCACATCCCATGTGTTCAAGTATTTTGAATTTTTTCACAATTTCACTTGATAAATTTGATTGTTTGAATAAAAACATCTTCTTTATCCAACACTCTAATAGCATAACAGTAGTATAAAATTTAATGTCGAGTTTTGTTCGATACGTATAGTCATTAAACGGAAACCCGAATCCACGAGCGAGGTTTTTCGTTCCCGTTGGGGTCGATGGATTCTTGGGAGTATTAACTGCTGGCATGAACTGAAAGTGCTCCAGTTCAATTCTTGCTGTTATTTTCCCGTGTTCTGGGATAGTGGTTTCGAAGAACAGCCATTTGTGATGATTGCCTGTACTGGCATAGATAAAAGATGGTGTATCTGATCTCTTTCATGCTAGTGAGCGGACCGATGTTTTGTATCTCCGATTTGGATACGAGCAGCGTGATTGCGCAAGGATAACAATCATAACATCGTCGAATGCTGTTAGTCGACCTGAGAAACGGACGAGAATACCGAATACGTTGCAAAAACTCTTCTGTTAATGTGAACTTCATACAGTGGATTCTTTGCGAACAGTGATAGCCTACAGGAAAACACGCTTGCGATAGGAATGTCGGACCAGTTCAAACCTCCGAGTTGGTAAGCTGATTAATCTTCCTTGGATGTTGTTGCTTTAAGGTTTAGGCAGTGGAAAATAACGATGGATTGCAGGGCTGGCCCCGCGGAATCTGGATTGCATTTGGATGTTATCAAAGATGGCCAACTAGTTGCAGTAAGTGTTCTAGGCACTGCCGCGAAGTTTTGTGTGCGCATGCGTTTCGGAAAGAAATCATGAAGAAATGAGGAAAAAATGACATTATCTGGATAATCATACCCTTGAATTGAAAAGCAGTGTGCAATTGCAATTCAGTTTTACAATTTACTGATTTACATGGATGATTTTGTAATTGTCTCTTCGCTTTATTTCGTGCTGGATTTTTACAGAAGTATTCAGTGGATTCCAAACATTACTATCTGTTTGGAAGAAATTCGGAAGTTGTTGATTTCGTTATTGACCATGTATCGTGTTCTCGTGTCCACGCTGCATTGGTTCACCATAAGGCGTTGAAGAGGCCGTTTTTACTAGATTTGGGAAGCAGTAAGTACACTTCTAATTCAAACTGCAATGAAGTAACCGACCACTTTTACATTGTAATAAGTAGTGACTGTGGTTTGCGTTGTGCTTGCATTATTGCTTATTTGAAAATGAACAGATGATAACAGTGAAAACTATTTTAATAAAAATGTTACTTGGGTTTGTTTTCTCTTCGTTCTCATTATGTTTGGTATAAAGGTTGTTAAAATTGATTTACAGTTTTACCTTGCAGCTCACGGGACGTTTGTTGGTAACATTCGTCTTGAACCACAAAAACCACAACAGCTCTTTCCTGATTCTTCCTTCCATTTTGGAGCATCAACTCGGCAGTATATTTTACGAGAGAAAACCAAACCGAAAGACAAAGAAGTTGCAAATAAAGACAAAGGTTCAGGGCGTGGTGTTGCACTTCCCTCATCAGATCAAGAACTGGAGGTAGTTTTCTAGAAGTAGTAGGTCATGATGTATTCTGCATGTAACAGCAAAACTAGTTTAACGTTATTATACTACTCCGGAGTAATAATTATCAAATCAATGAGATTTTAAATAAATTAAAGGATGGTTTAGGCTGTCTTCCCCTGGTAGACAAAATTGCGACCTTTTGTATTAACTAGAATTTTTCTATTGGCTGCTTTAAGATTTTAATTTTACTCGTGAATTTACTTTCTGGTGTCGTATTTACGATTAATACCATGATTGCTCGTATGCAGAATTAATAAGTTAGTTTTATTAAATTTTGTTGGTTATTATAATTATTGTTGTTGGTTATTGCTGTTTCCTTAATTAATTCTACCAGCATTGGTCTGATTTTGCACTTTTCCAGACTTTAACAATATACAACACGGAACAAAACTGCCGCCTAGCGGAATTAAAAGTTCAAGAACAGCCTAAGGGTGGACCTACTAAGCGGAAGCACGTTGGCTTCATGGATGTGGAGGAAATCATTAATATGGAGGACTGCGATCCAAGTGTTGGACGATTTCAGAATTTAGTCGCCACGGAAATAATAGCTTCAAACAAAGTATGTATTTACGATTAATGTTAAAGATTGTGTATTTCGCCGTTTTGGCATCGTAGGATACGAGTACTACTGGAATTTTCGTTAATGAAATATGCGAGTTGGTTTCTCTTCGTAAACATTTTACGTGAATTTCCTAAACGGTAGTTGAAACTTTTAGGTATCTGTTTTACAGCACTTTTCTGCGCAGAATTTTGTGGTATCGCGGTAGTTTACTTCATCTGATTTGTGAGAGCAATTCCATTAGTAATGGCCGATTACCACAAAAGCCGCAAAACCAAAAGACGTATTGTGTGATGGGTCTTTTGGTATTGCGGCTTTTTTTGGACAAAATCAAATTATTATGGTGATGTCTGCACTTGGTTGCAGAAGCAAAAGACCCGTTTCGAACCCCGAGTAGCAACTTCGCTGCATCGCATTGCGCCGCCGCTGGCCGCTGCTAAAGGTCTAGATTTGTACGATGATCTGCCTGGTTCAAGTACGATGCTACCCAACAGCGCACCAGATGTTGATGAACATCCCCATGATCCCATCAGCAATAGCGTCAGCGAGCACGAAGCGTCTCATCACAAAAAGTATGCCAAAGAAATTTGGCCGGGGAAAGCTCCAAACCTGCCTCATGCTGTTGTATAAGTTTTTGTCACAGTTATTTGCGGGCCATGTATAATAAAGCGTGCATAGGGAACTAGGACATTCGTAGGAATGCACTGGAACACCTTGGGAATTCTTAAAGATGTTTCGTTTTGTTTTGTTGAGAATTACCTGCTTCTTTTATCGGCTGAATGATCCATCGTCGGTGTTAGAAATGGTGTCTTATCTGCTAACGGAATGGACAAGAAATTGTGATTTTATTGTGGGTGTGCGTCGTTACGTACAAAATGCCGCACAATCTGTTTTTTTTTGGTACTACAAATGAAAATCTTCTGGATGAAAGAAAATAAAATTGCACCACAAGTACAGTACTTCCCCTCAAGTCACTGTACTTGTACACTGTACAATCCTCTCAACTTGTGGTATTCCGACTTTGCACGTTATCGGTGGTTACGACTGCGCCCCAATATGCGGGTGTAATATTATTGTATGCTGCGAAACAACGCTGACCACTTGAGTGCTTCCTTAACAGTGCTTCTTTAACACTTTCGTTTACAGTACTTTTCCGCTTATGAAACTTCGCCTCTTGTTTTTTATTCCTCTTCTTATTATGAGGCTAAGTGATTTTAATATTTTCTGAATATTTCTTATCATATTTTCTGCTGCCTGATCCTTGCATTTTTGGCGAACAAAGTTACAAATGGATGAAAATTACGACAGGTGGATCTGGATGGTAGCGTAGGCTTGTGACATTTGCCACAGTTACTTGTGTCAAGTACGTGGTAATAATAAGTTAATTCAACTTCGTTGTTCACGTCGTTAACGGTCAACTAAAAATCCTTTGTAGCGTTTCTGGTGTGAGGGTATGTTCCTAGCCAGTATTTAGCGTCTACAATGGCAAACCGAGGAATCGGTTCGCTCGCCAGTACGTTGCGCGATGTTCTTGTAAAAGCGCAGATCGGCGAAGAAACAAGCAATCTGCGCTATCTGAAGTTATCCAAAACTCACATCACATTGGTAAGACTTCTGGCTTGTAAAACTGCCTGCTTGTTCGCTGACAGCATTAAGTTATTGAATGCACTGTTTTTTAAATGGTTATATTCCAGAATGGATTGATATGCGCTGCAAGAGACGTATTTTTCGAGACTGAAAAAGAATTCCCCGTCTCCGTGAAGTCCGTTATTGTGCAGGTTCGGGATAAAGGTATCAGTACGAATACTTATTTTTAGCACACTCGCTATACAGATGCAGAACGTCTTTGATATCACCACTTCGTATCATTTTTCAAAATCCTGGTGTGCATACTGGCTTAATTATGGTGCTCGGTGAAAGATCGCATACGCCTGCCAAAATATAAATGTGTACATTTATTTCCCAGATGGGGATTTCGTGATGCTGCGAGATGATAGCGAAATCCAGCTGTTGGACGTTCCTGCGTTGCTTAACCAGACTATGTTCAAATTCATTTTGTTGGGTGAGCGTGTGACACTTGAGGAAGTTGGATTAATTTTATGAAATTTTTTAACTAAATTATTTAATGATTGGTGAAGCAATAAACTAAATAATATTAATTGTGTTGTGCATCGAGCCATGTCATGGTCTTTTCCTTTTTACAGATGAAAACGGAAAACGATGTGCTTCTACATGGGAACAGCCTTCGGGAAATGGGCCAAATAGAAGCAGCGCTGTCCCGTCGAAAGAATATCAAACTACGACTAAACAGTTATCCAGTTTGGAAACCATGATCACCCAGCTGTCAGCCAATTTTGCGGTGTTCCGTAATCAGGTTTTGCAAGATATTACCGAAATTAAAGAGCGTCTTGAATCAGAGAAACTACCTGCTCCTGAAACGTCGAACACATTGGATTCCCTCCGTGATCTGTATTCGGAAATTAAAGTGGGTTCCGAACTTCAGTTTCCAGTTGCTAGAATCCCTACCTCGTCGCAGACAATAGGTTTGTGCATGTATACATACTTTATGTTTTTTTATATCGGTATTTAAAATTTTTTCTCAGGCTTCTTGATTTTTGTGTTTTTTTTACTTAGTCGTTTGTTTTAACATGGGTGTGGACGTTTTGTAGATGATACAGAACTGCAAAGCTCTGCTTTATTGCGAAGCTCTGTTTTAAGCGAAACCAATGCAGCATGTTTTATTTAATATCGTTGAATAACTTTGTCCACTTCTTTTTCAGATGACGTCAGCGAAACCTCCTCTCAAGTTGGAAATGTCTGTGTAAAGTTTTTCGACTGCTTTTATAATAAGGAGGATGATATTAAGGTAGTCGGATTATGGCTGACTGTCAAAGTGGTGACATCTGAAAATGTTAAAATTACTTAATTTTGTCGGTAATGGTAGGTCACGTTGGTTGGCAAAACTGCGGGCGAGCAAGTTGCTGTTCATGAGCATATTTTTCACAAAGCAGTGGCTGCCGCTGAAGATGCGCAAAAAGGCAGTGAAGCACTTGAATTCAGTCAGACAATTTTGGAGTTGACCGCCGTCGAAGCTTGTGGCTGTCCGTTCCGGATGGTACTTCAGGATATTCAGAAATCAACCAAGAAGCAAATCGTCGCCGCATTTTATTCTCCGGCAGGAAACCGCCTGCTGAAAGTGTTGCACCGTAAGTTCATGACCATGAAAAAGACGGGAAGTTATACACGTTTGTTAATTTTGGTGCTTTGCTTTAGATTGGGCTTCCAGTCGGTGGCCAGATGGTCCGAAACGAAATCGATTCACTCAACTCATTAACGGCTACATGTGCCGGGTGTTTTACGGATCGTCTTATCGGACCGGATAAAGTACAGGTGATGTGAAAATGGATGTGATCTGCTGGTGTGCAGTTTTCCTTGTGAATCTTCCATTCCAGACAATAAGATGTTTTGAGCTGATATATTTAGAGCGAGATTCTTCTTTGCCTTATATTTTTGTATTCCTTTCGTAAGTACTGTACTTACATGCAGGGCGGATTTTTGTGTTTGATATGCCTTGCATTCTGTGATAATTAAGAAACTTCAATGATTATTTTTGAATTTTCCACGCCACTAGTGTTTGTGGTTTTATAAGACTGAATAAAATACAAACAAAAGCTGTTGTCCTTTTCGCCGAAGACGTTTCATAACATATGTTGTCAAGAAGGCAGGTTCAGTTTTTTTTATCGAATTAAAGCACTACGGTAAAACGATTTAATTAAGATTGGATAAAATAACCGAAGCCGTTACCATTTACTTACAAGTTAGTCTGTTCCTGGCAAGGTTTGTAAAGCGTTTACTGCATTGCCTTTTACAGTAACTAACCGGGTCGCTGGTTTAGAAAAGCCTTTTTTTCTGCTTTCACAGTTTCTCCCGAATCATACGCCCGATAAAACTGACCACATAATTTTATCTGGGGCTATTAGCATTCCTGATGCCAAATGGTAGAACAGATACTATACTGGCTGTATCTTCGTCAGTCAGATACTTTTCAAAATATGTTGTCCCCTTTGCATACGGCGGACATTTAGAAAATTATTTTTTCTTGAACAACAGAGGCGTGATAATTGGTGAATATTGATGAAGCCTACGCAATAGTGTTTCTGTACGGTATGGTACACAGATGCATATAGGTATGTAGCGTTTTATTTGAAATTCTCCAGTGACCGTCTGTTCATGAATATTGTTTCACATTGCTTAATATACGGTAGCCGGTTTCAAATGACCACCCAGGTAGTAGGCCCAGCCAGCTTGAATTCATCTGGCTGGCTGCAGTGTCATATTTTTTGGGTGGATCTTCTGAAATGGCATCTCATTTATACTGACCGAGTTTGTTGTGTATACCGTGTGTGCAATTGTCGTTCCATGATTACACACAGCCATCATGATGCGCAAGAGTTGCTTCTTGATAGCCGCTATGTGACTCAAGTCAGTATTCAGTGTAATTTTATGGCATTATAACGGAATCAGTCAGTCGGCGTTTCATAACTTACGGTTAATATAAGAAAAACGATGCTGCTTTCTGGTCGCTACTCTTCTTACTCCGTCATAACCGGTTGTTTTGTACTGCTGAACTTCACCTAATTTTTACGGAGTCAGACGAGAAGTCGTCGCTGCATATTGCTCGCCGGTTGCAGCTCTTTTGAAGTATTAATCGCAGTAAATTATTGAATGGTGTAATCTGTTTCAATAATTCTCCGGATTATCGATGCGCTTACGGATGAAAGTGTAGCATCGCATTTCCTTGGACAATGGGTGTTGTGCTACACTTGGGATTACTTGCGCTGGTTTTGACTCCGTTTGTAGCCGGTATGTCCACTACATCTTTTTATTCGCCGGGCAGTTTGTAATTTTCGGACCTTTGCTTCAGGTCAGGATTGCGGACTTCCGGCAGCACCGGCACACGCGACCACACAATTTGATGTTTATCCAATCAGGCCGAAAACCGTTGCGACGTACGCTTGCGATCCAGGATTTATTCTGTTGGGAAAAGATTCGCGCACATGCAGTATTAATGGAACATGGACTGGCTTCCCTCCGTTGTGTGGTGAGTTTACTGTTTACATCAGATTCAACGAGGAATATTAATCTGAACTAGAAATCAGATCAAAATAGTTGTAAATTAATGATTTGAAAAGTTGTTGAAGATTTTTTATAACTCATACATTTTTGATGTGGTAGTGTCCTAAAAAGTCCGGTAATTGTTTTACTGTTGTTGACTTTTGGTTAAATTCGGCAGACAGTGCTGTGAAGCCGGGTGTTTGATGAATTTAAATAGTAAGCAACCTGTTGCATGGATTTTCCAGCTTTCTAAGATTTACTTTACAATGCACTAAATACCTCTTTTGAAACTGGGGACCCTATATTTAACATTAATTTTGCGGAAGCGGTTTAACGGTCTGACATAAAAATTGGATTTCCGCGTTCTTTCATCGCAAAAAAACGGAGGGTGGGACTATCGTAACGACTCATCGTGCGTAATTAAGGCGAGCATACGGTGCGCGGTACGGCACCGGAAGATTAGCAGGTGGTGTTTTTTGATGGTCTTGAGACAATCATATCTTCTCTCGGTGTAGATCCTTTACAGACTGACGAGAGTATGCTCATTCGACGGATGTTATTGAACCATGATATCATTCGTGTGTGCTAACTGTTTGTATGTGTGTGTGCGACGTTCGAACTTCGAATGCGATTTTGCCGGAGGGTTTCCGCAATATATTTTTATAGATTCGAGTGCGGCCTTGGTGGCCTGTTTTTTTTTCTCCCGCCGATCTCTTCATCTCTTGTTTGTATCGAAGAAATATGTTTATCGCACGTCGCTAAACGCTTATAATAAAGCCATTTTGCAGACGGTGAATCAGTCCGGTTAATGAAAGGAGCTGTCATGCATAGACAATTTCGTATTCTGTTAGAAAACGGAAAGTACATATGTTTTTCATTAGCGGTTGATTGATGAGATTTACGCTTTAGTAAATGGACTGGTGTGTATTAATTATTCACAGTTGCACCGAATGGCGAGCTTTATGTGCGAACTTACGACCGGGTTAAATTTTAGTTATTACCGTATTTCATATTATGGGATAAGCGAGTTATCGCCATAATTGCGGTTTCGAGCGTCAACGTTGCTACAGCATGAAAAAGGCTTAATGTTAAACCGTATCAGAAAGTCTAACTGATATGCATGAGAAAGGTTACGGACCTGCATGGTCTGTGTATTAGTCATAGTTTTGAGCTTTCGGTAGCCTCTTAAAAATTTTTAAAGGGTTTGTTTTTTTCAAAATTTTGTTTAAATGTTTCGGCTAGTGGAGTTAATTCGTTTTGTGAATTTTCCAGTTCTCACACGACGTTACCGACACGCCCTAGTAATAAAATGGAGAAAATTGACTTTCTCTTATTGAACTATTTTATTCAGCCTCTTTAATTAGAGCAACTCTCAGTTTCACGTAATTGATCAACACGTGTTTTTCTACTTCGCTATTTACTTTTGTCATGAAGATGCATGAAATTCTCACGATTCGGGCGAAGGCGACTTGCAGTCTGCAATTGCATACTCTGCTGAACACGAAGTTGTTCAACATTTGAGAAAACGATTAAAAAATTCGTTTGGCGATTTGCAATTCCAGTTTAGCGGCATATTAAGTGTACGATATAATACGCTGCACTCACACCAATTAACAACTAATGAAAATAAAAAATCTTAACGGGAGAACTCAGTACGGGTAAATTTTTACGTGTTAAAATATTGTTTAGGATTTTTCACAATTATGAAATTAATTGCGGTATGCCCCGGTTAGAGTAAATATGTATGTTGTGTTCTCCAGTAACGGATATCGCACTGGGGAAACCAACCAAATCCTCGTCGCAACAGGGCCGTATTGGATCATCAGTGGCTGTTAACGGCGACTCATTTGGCATAAATTCCGAAGACAATTGCCATTCGACGCAGGCGGAAATTGCACCCTGGTGGAGTGTCAACCTGCTCGATTCGTACATTATTCACTCGGTCCGAGTGGTAATTGGTCGTTCCTGCTGCGGTGAGTGGCGGCAGCTAAGCGGTCGCCGCACAACAACGATAAGAATTGACTCAATATTGACTTTTTCTTGAATATTTCTGTTCTTTTCCTTATACCCTTCTGACAGCTGATGGACCGGTATACATTGAAGTCCGTGTGGGCAACGATCGTGATATCTCGCGGAATGCATTGTGCGGACGATACAGCGGCATTGTTGGTCAGTGTGCGTGTGTGTGTTGTAGTGAAGCCAGTTGCGTATATCCGTTGCGGTATGTAAGTCTTTTGTTGGACTGTGAAATTGCAGAGGAAGGCTCCGTGCTCGATGTCCGCTGCTACCGTCCACTCCGCGGCATCTTTCTCAGTGTACACCAGATGCGGGATGTGCCCAACGTGTTATCCTTGTGCAAAGTTCAAGCTTTCTCCGATCAAGGTTAAGCAACAATTGCTGTTGAAAACTAGTTAATTACAGGCTTAAACACATCGAAAATCGCATAGAAGTCGACTGAATGGAAAAGCAATTATGAAAGTTTTAATTTCATTAGAGTTTAATTTTTTAAATTTCGCTGATTTTAGTTTGGTGAATAAAAAGCTTAAATTTTGCTACTTCCTTACTGCAAGAAAACCAAATACTGTAATCACCCAAAAAACAAAGATTTTGCTCTGCAAATGTGGAAATGTTAAATCGTAATAAATTGGGTATCTGATTTTTATATGAAATTTTGTTCGGATGCGGTATAATTTTTGGCTGCACATAGTAAAAGTATTAATGTATTTTGCTAACTTATGTTACTTAACTTCGCTTTGCAGCAATCACCACTCTGCAGTGTCCTATTGCTGAAGAGAAAGTTGATAGCGGCGATATTTTCACATATTCCGATTACTGCTATCATTTTTTCAACTCGAAACCCGACACCTGGGATAATGCTCAGACGTACTGTATGCGCCGCGGCGGCAATTTATTATGGGGCACCAGCCCCGCCTTCCAGGTAATACGGTGTGCTGGCTTTTTCATTAGGAATATTTTTGATTTGTTTTTTTGCTGTCGCAGGCATTTGTCAGCTGGGCCATGGCACATCGGTACAACCAGTTCTCCTCGGACAATCCCAATTACTGGCTGGGTGCCATGCGCAGTTCCTGGACTAACGGCGAGTGGATGTGGGTCAAAGGAAGTGAGTATACATATATAAAACCCCGTCATTTCCGTTAAGAGCCCTTTTAATGCTGCCCCGGCTTCTGTAGACGCGACGGTTAATCCAATTCGCGCCTTCTGGTCTTCACGCGATCCGCCGAGTGAATTTGATGGCCAGACCAGTTGCGTGATGTTCGATGCTAATTCGGGGTGGTTATGGCGTGAAACCAGCTGTAATCGACACTTAAATTGGGTCTGTGAATTCGGTAAGTTTCGATGCAAGTCGGTTAAGCTGTCAACACGTTGGTGGATGTCAGCAGCGGTAGCGGTGTGTTGTTTCCGCGTGGATGGATGGCATCGTGTGCTGATTGGTTGTCTGTGACGCGCCATTGGAGTGGTAACGGTGTGTGGTTACTCTTTTAGCCCCACGCTCATGCGGTAATCCTGGTGTCAATGCCAACTCCACCGTGCAGTACTCATCGACGGATGTCGGAAGTGTGTCCGTTTACGGCTGTACGGGTGGACTATTTCTGCGCGGTCCCGGATTGAGGCGGTGTCAACCCAGTGGAAAATGGAGCGACCAACCACCTGTTTGCACCGGTAAACGCACACCGGGAGAAATATATGCGCTTTTTAATAAAGAAATTTATCATAACTGCAATGCTTTTCGAAAGCTTTTAATTTACGTACGTATGTTTCAACTAAGTTAAGTACTGTAATGAAGTTTTCCGGTCCCTGGCGGTTCCCAGTCTCGATTTATGTTTACTTGTCCGCGTCTGAAATTTTGTAACTGCAATTTTCTAAAATTTATGGCAAGTTTCTTTCAGTCTTTTTTGTAAAATTGAACGTAGCTTTTGTTTCATAGCGTGGTATGCGATATTTTTATCAAAACATCTCGTTACTGTTTATTAATTACCGGTTGCTTTTATGCATGTAGACGAAGGTTGCGGTCCACCTCCGACTGTCGAAAATGGCGACGTAGCGTACAACAGCACCAGTGTGGGATCAGCCGCCCAGTATACATGCCTGAATCGTTTTAAACCAGTGGGGAAGACGCGAAGCCTGTGTAACGCTGATGGAATGTGGACAGGGGAGCCTCCGCAGTGTGTTCGTAAGTGACCTTTTAACCTCTGTAGATTTGCAATTCCGCTAACCGGAATTCATCTCACAGCTGTGGATTGTGGGCCACCTCCCGGCATTCCACATGGAACCGGCGTGTTATTGGATTTAAGCAGCCACCAAGGATCCCGACTAGAGTACAAATGCCAATCTGGTTTCAGAATTGTTGGTGATACGATGTTAGTGTGCACGGTAAACGAAGTATGGGAAGGAGCGTTTCCATTGTGTCAGCCCGGTATGTCCTCAAGTCGGCTGTCAAAAATTTGCTGCAGAATGTTTGAGACAGTGATTGTTGTCATTCAGATAATGGAGATGTGGATGAAGTTCCTGTGGTTGTGGGTAATCGTTCAGGTACAACAACTACGGCTACCACGCCAACTACCACAGAGGTCACTACATCACCAAGTACATCGACTACCAGCACATTACCATCCACGACAAGAACTACAAGGTACTTATCACGGTTAAATTCTAATACCAGTTTACTACTAGTATCATTCTGTTTATTTCTTTATTTATTAATTTGATTATTAGACAACCGACTACTACTTCAACATCTACGACGACTACTCCAACGACGACCACGAGCACCACTACCACCACGACAACGACAACTACCACGCCGACCACAACCACGTCGACCACCACAACGACACCAACCACTACCACAAAAACCACGACTCCAACAACTACGACAACAACAACGACCCCTACAACGACGACCACCACAACGACACCGACAACAACCACCACCACGACCACCACTACGTCGACGACGACACCCACAACTACAACCACAACACCAACGACCACACCGAGCACAACGACTACAACAACCACTACGACACCCACCACGACCACCACCGAGGAGGCCACCACCACGTCGTTCTTGTTGGTGCCAGGTTTCATTCCGTCCCTATGGCAGCAGTCAAACCGAACCAGCAGCTCCCTGGACCAGGGCTACGATCGACCGGAAGATGGAGAAAGCAATTCCATCAACTCAAAAATTGCCATAATTATGACTAACGATACGTCATCCGATGAAAAAACTGGAAGCGCTGGCGGTATGGATTGGACAGCGAAGGTCACTACGGGTGCTCCTGAATTAACTACAAATTCGACATTAGTAGTGGAGTTGACTACGTCCACTACAACTGTAACATCTACGCATGTACGAATAAATTTACAAACGCTTTTGTTATGTATTTTTATGAATGCTTTGGTTTCAGCCTCCTGTGAATACCACCGTGCATTTGAACTCCGCGGATCGCGCCGCACTGGAATTCTTAGCCAACCAGTTTGCCATTTTCACACCGGCACCCACCCAAAATGCCTCTCATATACCGGTACAGAAAGGTCATTTCGAAGCGCATAATGCCATGATGAGGGACGACGCCAGTGGGAACTGGGATCAGACTGTCGCTACAACGACCAAGGAGATTCACCTGACGAAAATGCCATCGCCACCGGTTCTTCTGTTTAATGTGGCGGTCGATCGGCCTGCCGACCTTTTACCGGCTTTGGACGAAAACAGCGGCGATAGCCATGGCCGAAACGTAAATCGCAGTACCGTGGAAACAGCGACAGAGATTGTCACAACAAAAATGGCCGAAACTGGAACCATGGGTATGATAACGTATATTAAATACACACGAGTAATATTTATAATTACTATAAGGATTAACATTTCTGAATGGTGTATTTACAAGTTAGCATGCAAAGCCATATATTGATTACGTGACGCCCTTAATTTTAATTGTGTTGCTTTACTTTTTTACTTTTTAAAACGATACTCGTTCGTTTACAACATGTTTTAAATTTGTTTGCCGGAATTGAGTCGTTATCTAATGAATTACATGTAAAACTACGGTTGTATTACACAAATGAACGGGACACTGAGAATGTGGGAGAATGTGGGTTGCCCGACACCTTCGTGGTGTTTCTTGGCTTTTGAATGTTTGATTAATGCATTGGTAATTGTTGCGTTGCAGGCGGCTGGATCGCTCTGGGTGTCATTCTGGGACTTCTCTTGTTGCTCCTGCTAATTATCCTAATTGTGTGCCTTATGAGACGGTAATGCGTGTTGACAAGTTGTAATCCCCATATGGTATACGTAATGACCTGGGTGATATTTAAATAATTGTCGTTTCTCTTGCACAGAAGGCGCCGCGAAGCCGCTCGCATCGCTGTCAGCAGTACACACATCATTTCCGCTGCCCAGTATGACACAGAACGGGAGAGTGGGGCAGCTAACGCCTTCAGCCATCGCTACCGTAAAGCCTGGGATAATCTGCAGTTGCAGGTAACGGAAGCCGGTCCAGCCGCAGCGGTGGGCGGTGGGGGTAAGGACACACCAATTAGCCAGTCCACCTTTAAATCTACCGGACCACGGCTCAAGGATGACCATCATAATAAGGCATCGGCGGAAATCGTGATTAGTCCCTCTCGTGCCGGCACGGTTAAGTCCATGGGATCGGTCGGTGGGATTAGCGAAGCGTTTAATGAAGCGGATGAAATTCTTGTTGATCAGGACACAACGATGGCCAATGGCCAGCTACAGTTTGAGCATGGTAGCTCACCAGGTAAAAGATAACTTTGCTTTGTTACACTCTCTGTTTAAACTAGCGTGAATTTGCGTTAAATTTGTGTAATGGTTCTGGCTTTTGTTGTTATTTTATTTGTTATTTTTCTGTAATACGGTAATTGATTTACGTTGATTGCCCTATTACTACAGAATTTGAACCGGTAAAAGTCGAAATAAGAAATTAATTTCCGTAGTTACGTACTGCCGGTTAGAGTAGTTACGTATATAGCGACACCGGAAAAATTTATAACCTTTAATGCGAGTTTAAAAGTTTTTATCTCATGCATTTCATCTTGGTTCTGAGTCTTTCTTATTTCAAGAAGCAACCATACGTGTTAGGATGCAAAGACTTTGAGCACGGTTAATTAATTTTCAGTATAGCCCGCTGTTAACGGTGGGTAGTTGTACAAATTGTCAGCGGAACTGATAACGCATCACGGTGTGAAGCTCTCCTAGCTGCTGTAGCGCTGACATTGATCAATTGCAGATGCTGCCAGTTTTCCATTACATAGTATCCCTCGTGCCACTCTGCCATAGAAATTGACTACTAATGGCCGCGTATAATGCCGCTTCCTACCAATGCATGTTGCCTAATTTATTTGTGATTAGCATCCTGTCTGACCGGAAAATTACTGTACCAACTGACCCAAAGAAGGCTCCTCGTAATCAAGAGAAAGAGAGAGCGAATTTTAGCCTGACCAACCACCGCGATAATTGAGCTGTTTTGCGTGCTTAAATCTCCCATTACTTGTCTTACTATTCTGTCGATGTAATTTATTTTTAGAAGGCGAATTTTACATGTTAAAATTGCAAACACTAGTAGGCCCATTCTGGGCACACGGCCGTACTGATTTTTGCAATTTTGCATTATGTGTTAATAATAATATCGTACCAAGTGTTTATATGCCTCATTGCGCGTTCTTTGCGGGGTTTTCTCTGTGGTTTTTCAAATCATTGTTATAGTGTTTGCTTTTGTTGGATAGTGATGATTTAATGCTGTGCATTGGAGCGCGTCACTGGCTGCTTTTATCAAGAGAGAGAAAAAATTGGTTTAATGTGTTCGGATCCGGACAGAAAGTTTACCCTTCGTTGCACGCCAACGCTGATGTTTTTGATGGAAATCACGGCCACCATTACGTCTCTGTACGATGCGGCACTTCCATTTTATACGATTCATCATCGATGGGAGTGTTAACTGGCCAACATCACAGATTGCCGTCAATATTACCGGCTTCCGCGCTGTTCTAAACACAACCGGCATGGATGTACAAATCTGTTTTTCGCGGTCAGCTGTAGGCGAACGGAATTTTTCTTTTAACAGCCGGATGCTACGGTCAATATCAATTATTCTGGTCTAACAACTTTAGGGCTGTGAAATATTAATTTGTGCGGGAGGTACGCAATTTCGTCCTCATGCGAAGATCAGAATTCACTATGCGTATGCGCAGCGGTGCACTCACTGGTCAGTTGACATACGTCTGCCAAACAAAATTAATTTTATTATTTCTGTTTTAAACGAAATTTCACCTATCCTAGTAAATTTGGATACACAAAATCTAAGAACAAAATCACTGTGTCAGTGCAATTTTTTACACAACTATACACCAACCTAGGTATGCTTCTGATAATTGTATGCTACAAAAAGAAATTCGCATATATAGCGCCATCTGTCATTCAGAACTTAACAAAAATGGTCCAGCAAAATATAGAGGAACCCGGAAATAAATGCTGAAGGGATTTGCGCGCCACAGTACAGGAAGAAAATCACAACAAGAAAACAAAACAAGGGACCGAAACAAAAAAAATTTGTCTAACGTTTAATGCGCTACCCTCTCGAGTACAACCCGAGTCCCCTTAAATTCATCGCACAACACATGCTGCATGCGTGTTTTTCCTGCGCAAATAATCATCGACCGTGATCCGAGGAATGCACCGTACAGCCCGCCGTCGTCGCTCCAGGGGAAGCCGGGAAGAAAAAACATACGGATACACTGACTTAAGTAGGCAACTAATCCCGTATTTCTGTCAGCGGATAAGTTCCGGCCAAGTCGCTGGCGCTGTCAATCTGGGCGCGCGGCGCTTTACGCGACACCGGCACATGCAGATGCTCGATTTCCTGTTCATGATAGACGATGCCCCGCCTCCGGTATCTACAAACGCACACACCACACACAAATTTAAATATTGGATACAAAGTGAACGGCTGGTTTCTTTTTCATGCCGGAAAATCAATGCCGGGATAAGTTTTTCCGGCTGGTCTCTAAGTGGCAAAGAATCAAATCGAACTAATTGGATTTTCTACTGTATCCTTAAGCCGAGCGGATGGGCAACACTAGGCGTAGCTGGTGTTAATTACGTAACCCAGATGAGTTACATCACGTAACGTTTCACCAAGAGGACAAATTTTAATTTTTATATACGGCATACTATTGTACGCTAAAAAATTAAATACATTTTTATGAAAGTAACAAAAGTTAAAAAGTATACGTATTTATAGTATACGTATTTTTGCGAAAATTAGTATACGTATTTTTGCGAAAATTTTGCAGCTAAAGGGTAATTTTAGCGACAAATCTGAGGACATTTAGCCTAGCCACCAAATTGTCTAAAGTATTGTAGGAGTTCCCAGTTACAGATACAGTGCGCATGAAATTTAAAACCAAGATATACTAGCGGCGTCAGTATGTGAAAAATGACTTTTGTGGATCAAAGATCCGTGATTTCAGTCTTTAAATTCGGTTAGAGGTTGGTGTTATGATTTGGAAGAAATTATTGACATAACCGATTAAGTTAAATAATCAAATCACATTTTTCAAATGTCAGATCGACAAGCGCGGTAAGAGTGGACTCAGCTTTTTAACCAACCGCATCAGCACTGCATGTCATACTACAGGAAGTACAGTCAGTGTGATCATTTTTAAATTCTACATAATATTGATAACATTAACACCGCCACATCTTACTGCTATAGCGAAAACTGAAAACAGTACGAGTAGCAGTGCTAAATGGAAAGTTAACATCTTGATGGAGACTCACCGCCTAACGCTTAACAAAATTCCCAAGGCAGCTATAAGAATGAGAAGCAGCACCCCCACAACCGTAGCTGGGATAACAACTTCTGCAAAGAAAAGCAAACATTACGAGAATCTATTCGGATGCCAAAAAACCTGCATTAAGGCACTTCATACTTCTGCATCAACGTGACTCAGAAAATCATAAATGCGATTACACGAAAGTCACAAACTTAATTGATAAATAAAGGGGGAAATAGAGAAATTAATTTATAATTCGGTCTGTACCAATAATCCAAAATAAATGTGCAATGCCATTATGCCCTTAATTTCTTATTATTTAATAGCACTTTGCAATATTTTATAATGACCATGGACTATGGAGTGTCATAAACGCACTGGTCTCAGGTATGTATAGACTGGCAGCTGCCGAATACACCAGCCTTTCACGTTTGGCCAAAAGCAGCTCGCTTTTTGTGAATCACTCAGGTGAAAATCTCAAGGTAATGAGAAAAATCGATCGAGCAAACGTTCCAATTCGATGTAAAAATCGATCTTGTGAAATTATTCCATCAAATTTAATTTCAAATCCTTACATTTTATATTCCTTGTTTATCATTGGCCAATACCGGCAGACACCAAACCGGAAAAACATTGTACTGTGTTTTCCCAAGATTATAGCAGTAATTTTACGATTTTTTAAAGGCATTATAAATATCGAACCGCAGTCTTCCAATCCGTACCGCTACTCTAGCTGTCCGGACTGAATAAATAAAATTAAATTATTTTTCACTCTTAAAGCGTGAGCGGCTATATAATGCGCGTAATTATCTATCTGTAGATGATAACTAGGTATATCTCTGTGAGACCAGTAAGATAACGCAAAACACTGATTCCTAAATTAATGACATTTAAGTATCGTCAACAGTTAGCTCCTTGCCTTTTAGGGTGATCCCGTTGAGCAATGGAATCGGCATATCGGCTCGTCTAGCGTGCAGCCGGGCCAGGGCGTCCTTTCTCCACTCGGAGTCGTTACTACCTGGATTAGAAAAAGGAGAGTGCGTTGTTGAGGATGTGGACGAGAGGAGGCTTCTGAATACGCCGGTAGTGAAAGATTTTGAACCACGACCATTACCATCCATTACGACTATAATATTCCCAGTGTATATACGAGATAGCGAAAAGATGCTGTCAACACATATATACGATGCCGATTCCCTCACACTGTCACACATATACACCGTGCAACACAGCCAGCTAACTGACAGGCGGCTAAAGTGCCACCTGATTAAGCAAACATCGCACTGGAGCTAAAATGGAGCAGCGACCGTCGGGTAATTTTTTAACAAACGCTGTCAACAGCAGGTTAAGGCAATGCCGTTAAAACATACTCTGTTGTACAGTTGAAAATACTAATTGTCACGTAAGACGCTAGTGTTTGACAATCTGACTTAATTCGGTAGCAAACACAAGGGAACTGATCCGAGCTGCGCTATGCAGGCTGTGTATTCAACAGCTACTGTAGCATAAATCGGAATGTTAGTGTTGGTTGTTTGAAGGAATGCCCCAATATAGCTCGCCGTCTTTCCGCAAAGAAACCCACTATGTGCAAACTTTCACTCTCAATTGCAAAATACAGTTAGATCCGCGTGTGTGGGGGTTTTAAGTAAAAATGCAAAACCGGTTTACTTGTAACCTCGTAACAACCATTTTCTACCGGCGCGGTGCACTGGGAGGGCTTAAGAAATGTTGTGTATATACCGCAGTGCAGCACCACACTGTCAGTATACGCAACGTGTGCTATCCCGTGTACAGCACGATTGCGTTATTCATTCGGCCAGAAGTGAAATCTGCGCATAAGGTCTGCGGCAATGCGATCCATATTAGCTAAAAACGATTGCACCAGAACTGGATTGGGTCGGTTTGGGTGATTGTGGCTTGTGGGAGTGTCAAAAAGGGATGTTGTTGAGTTTGCTTTGCTCAGGAAAGGAAGGGTCAGGAACCAATGTTATGCCATTGTATTACATGCAATTTCTGATTTAAATAAATTAAATCTGATCATTTGTCTCACGGTTAATAATTTAACCGGGGAATAGCCTGCTATAAAAGTGCATGTTTCTAATTAAACGTAGAAGAACTTCTCATACCGGCAACAAAAATAAGAAGAGGAACTGCGATTGTACCGGCACGTACATCTGCAAGCATATTTTTATGCAAAATCAAAATTTAATAGGCATTATTAACTTTATCATAAAAAATAATTTCATTACGAAAGGTTAATCAAATACAAACGACTTGTTATGGACATATATGTAGATATGTACGTGCACAATACATTTGTATGGATAATTAATGATTCTGTAAATTTCAAAACATAAATTACTAAGGAAATGCTTGCATTACAGTATTTTAATCCGTTTTCTTCTGGTTAGTACATGCTGTATGCTTGACAGTATTTACGGTAGAATGTAGCAGTTCAACACATCGTTTTTGTAATGTATGCAGAATTAAGAAAATTAACACAGATTTTATATTTATAAATAACAGAAGTATATAATTGTATATACTCGTATAATTACATTTATATATAGCGCACTACGCGTTGCATTTCTTATAACACGAAACCGAGCATGGTAACTCACAGTCTGGCACCGATCGATCCCATCTATTTCCGTCCAGGCAATTCAGAACCAGTTCATCGAAGGGATACAATAAATCGCGGAAAAAGTAACCATCTTGACATCTCAGGACAATATTGGTGTAATTCCGTGAGAGCTGCTCCACTGAGTCTGGAAGCTGAGGATTACTACAGCCAATCGCTACAACATAAATTGCAATGCAATGCAGATTCTGTTTCCTGCTAAAATACCGGCTGCCCTACCTACAACAGAATTTTGTTAGACATTCAGACCAATGTGGCCACTACCTTGATTTATTCTACAACGAGCCGAAATGTAAGCGTTATAATTTATAATAACGAACATGAAAGAACAAACAGCACTTTTGAATTATAGTTTTTTATTAATTTACAGTTAGAGTTAGCTAAAAACGGAGTCATGAAAACTTCTGATTTATATGCATAGTACTACGCTATGTATTACGCACTGGTATGTCTTACATTATTCTCGGAGTCAGTAAAATAAAAATAACTTCCGACGGCAAAAAAAGAGCTAGGTATGTAGTTTACTAGTTGGTAGAAAGTCAAAAGCATTATTTGCTCATGGGGTCATTTGCACCGTCTTGATTCATATCATAAAAGCGCGCGATAAGAATATATCAGATAACATGGAACCTATCGGATATCCTGACGTACCTTTGTAAAATATCCAAACACCTTTACTTGTCCAGCCTTTTGATGTACTAATAAGCGATATTTTTGCAAAATTTGAGGCCACTTGTAAATTGAAAGGATACGAATGGCATGTCTTGACAAGCTGTCGATCATTTTCGTAAATTATTAAATAATCTTGGCAGGCGTTATCTTTGGCACTTTGAGGTCGTAGTGAAAGGTCATTGAGCATTATCAGTATATTTTTTCCCACTACAATAAAGCCAGCATGAATAAATAGAAAGTAGGAAAGTAAACACAGGTACGCACGCTGTCTATATACAATAACACACGGTTGCCAACTTAAGCAATCCAGTACATTATTTACAAGAAAAGCATTGCCATAAACACGTGTGGAACTATCGGGCAACAACTGGACTTTCACTTGCAATGTTCTGCAGAAAAATTATTATATCTTATTTATTAAAGCTTTTTATGATTTTGGTTGACAACAGCTTCCTGGGGTACCGGCTCAGGTAATAGATATATTAGAAGTCAAACTATACGGTCTTATTAATTACTCAAAGGAATAAAGGCGTTATTTCTATTGTTCTAAAAACACGTTCGTAGACTCGGAGTATTTTCGGGATCTTACAATTTTGAGTGTCAATTAAAATCTACAACATCTTGTTTTAACATAGAGGTGTGGGGATATACTACAAAGTGCAAAGCATGACTGCGGTTGCATAGCATAATCATGATTGTTCAGGTATAAACACGAGTATAACATATCTATATTTTTATCAAGAACGTTGTACAGTACATAATCCTTCATTGCCCGGATGTGAATAAAACAGTGCTGATCACCTTCGGTTGAGATCCGCCAGGAACAGTCTGAAGGGCCTGGATAATATTCCGGATATCCAGGACTCAGTATATGCCCATCCGGCGCTGTTAAGTTCCGATTGCAAACAGAAATCACCTGCGATCCTAAAACTACAATGATTGTACCTAATTTATCGACACAGTATTTATTGTTGCCCTTATGCGTAGGTAATTTACGTATGCTTTTTATATTTCTGGTTGTTTCTCATCAAGTTACTGGCACTCCGCTGTACAAACTTATTACAAAAGAGCATTAATGGTTACGAAAATTGTAACTTTACCGAAAATTTGTATAAGAATATTGAAGTATTGAAGTAAGAATACTTGAAGTACAAAATTTAAGTAAAAGCTTGTGTGAAGCAGCCCTTGAGCGTGCAGTGTTAAAAAATAGTATGATCGCGAAAACTGAAAAAATATATTTTGTCTGGATGATAAGGGTCAGCTCCCATATGTACTCATTTAAAATTAAAATTCATATAGATATAGCAGTGGTAAAAGCGCTTTAGCTGCCCGTACGTGGTTTTTGTTAATACCTGGTATACAAGCAAATTTGACTTCCAAAACTTCATTGCCATCACAAGGGGAACGGAAAATGCTTTCTTCCATCTCGATGAGGCACACTTCCCGGCCAGAGCACCTACGAAATATCGTAACTGCAGCTATTAATTTTGACAGCGCAAGCTGGGCAACACATTCAAGTCATACGAGTATACCAAAAGTTGCGTGCGGATATTTACGCTATTTATGCTGAAGTTCTGGTTTAAGAAATTTTAGCACTTTACTTTATTTTACTGGTCTAACAGTATTTATGCCAAAAAGAAATTTAGGTGTTGTGTGTTCGTATTCGGAAGAGCACAAATTTACCACTGGGTAGAAAAAATCTAAAGTTTTCTTGTATTCCCAAAATTTAACCAACAAACACTTTTTTATGCAAGCAGCCACATGTAACTTCTTTTACGGTTAACCACATCTAACTTTCAAACATTAAAAGATTTCATATTTTTGTAACCTAGAGTAGCAAATGTATGTGAGAACTTACATATCTTTCACAAGTCCCGATACATCGTGATTACACCGGGGTCGTTTAAGCAACGAATTAGCCGCATCACTTAACGATGATAAGTAGTCGCGGGGTGTTAATAGTGTACCGCTTGGCAATTGATTGCTTTCGGGCGTGAAATGGGTTGAGCAATTATAACCACTTGCATTTCCATAATTCGCACCAAATATCATTATGCGTTGGCCGGTAGCGCAGCGCAGTGTTAGCTGACCATCCGTCTGCCGACAAGCATGTACTTGAGTCCAACCGATAAATTGCCCACCTAAAAAGAGAAAGAAAATGGATTCTCTATTTGATATAGTGTAGAATATAAATCACCACTACAGAAAGATTGATCCAAAATTTGACCGGAAATGATTGGGAACCGTTTTCCTATAGCCGGATGCATTGATTACTTGTATGTTCGATTTCCTGTGGGCTGACAAATATAATGGGGAAAGCGTGATATTAAATACAGGCTATACAGCATTCTATAAATATTTTGACCTATTCCCATTTTCCCGCGCACACTTCATCAAAGTTCGTATTTTTATCCATAATTTTCCTGCACATTATATAGCCATGTATCTGTATGCTGGTTTTGATTGATGTATTTGCTGTATGCTAAAACAGCACAGGCATGGGCTGTATTGTTGTTCGACATGCAAATGCGATATTAAAACTGATTCCTCGGGGAATAGTGCGCATCGTAAAAACATCACAGCCGATCGCGATAGGTGGACTCGAACGGCGACATGCACTGGCCATAAACAGATCCATATCGAATAGCCAGTGTCCATTCGTCAGTTGTCAGGGAATAAATAATTACAATATATATATGAATGAACAAACATGCAGTGCGCGCGGTGTTAAGGGAGATTTATCAACATGCAATTTATGTTTGTGTCCGGTTGTGTTGACTCGCCGGTTTGGATACGGCTTGTGAATTTCGGCACCGAAGCATAAGTGATACACTGGAGAAAGGGCGGTAATATGATATCCTGCAAGTAAATAACCGCTAATCCAGGGAGTATGCAAAGAAAAGTACAAGACCGGAATTTGCCTCCACTGCGTCCGATTCATCCCGAAAGAAATCCTTAGCCATGTTTTCTTAATAAATCGGAAAGTCGTTTTGTTGTGTGTGAATACACGTGCACGCGCTTTAAGTTAGAACAACATCGCTGTTGGCGTTTAATCCATCCAGCAAACCGTGCAAATATCGATCTTCTTGCAGCCAACACTGTCTTTAAAGCGTTTTCTTTGAATAGAGAATCTGTATTTTGTAATTCACTTAAAATATTACATGAGCGCTTATGCGTACTAAGCTTTCTAATTGACAATAAAAATGATAAAAATATTATAGCACATTAAGAACTTTCTGAAAATTTTTAGCCGGCTTATTATTTTGTACTTACCCTATTTGGTATGTTCAAAGCAGAATAAGTTTAATTTTAATTTATGGTTAGTGAATACTCCAAAAGAGCATTAAAACACCAAATGCGTTAAGAATGTACAAATCCATAAAGTTTAAAAATTACAGTTAAGTACGCGTATCAAGACGGAAACAAAAGATACTACGGTACTACACAGATATAAAGAGTAAGTATATACATTATGTATACATATATAGCAACGGTGCTTATATATTGAACTACGCGGTTATTTGCTAGCAAAGTGAAATCTTTAGCAAGGCCATGCAGGCTTCTGACAAATTAAATAATAATTCCACTTCATATGACAAATTGTTATGATCGATCACCCGATAAATATAATCGGTAAACCGAGCGTACAAATTGCTCATGAAACACATGAGTTATCGTAACTGCCGCTGGAATCTTAATGATTACTTCGCACGAGAATTAAGTCAATGCATACTAAAAGGCTTTAAATGAACGAGAGACCCAACAACTACTTTTAATGCAAGTTATGCAACTTCTTCAGGGTTAAAGGGCATACATATATTGCCCAGCTTAAGTAACACAGGAGTACAGATATGCTAATACAAACAAACATTTTCATAACATCTTGTTTCCATATAATAAATAAAATTACTGAGTTATTAAGAACAGGATGATTATCGGGAAAATCGTTCAAAAGAAATGTAAGTGAACGTTTTTGCTTTTCGATTTCTCACGCTTTGCAGCATCTTTCCCGTTTAAAATCAGAGTATCTGATAGGACTCTTAAACAATTCTTCAGAAAAATAAGTAATACATTTTATTAACAGTTTTTTACGAATGCCGGGGCAGGTCTAAGAAATGAACAAAACTAACAAATTAATTAACGGAGTGCATAAGTGCGAAGGGAAAGTGCTCTCAAATATACTCTGTACACCGTAAACATTCGCTATGCCATTATGGTTTTGCCACATCACACATCAAAGTTTCCCAAACCTCTCCTTCTTTGCAAATATACAAACGTGTAGCGGTTAAACAAACTTCTGCGGAAAAATTAATTTCAATAAAAGTACTACTGCTGCACATATGCAACAGCAACTGAAACAGTGTCTTGGGTCCTAATACGAAAGAAATGCTATCACGACGTCGTAACTATTGCTCGATCGTTTTATAAACAGGTCAAGTGCAATGCATCTACACCCGAGCAAACAGACCGGCATTAGACTGATGTTGATTTAACGCACATTTTCCATTGTAAGGTGGTATACACTTGAAAATATCCGTAAATAATTTTTGCTGTTGTCCATTTTTAAAAACAAACACTTCCCAAATGATCTCTTTTCTGTTCAAAATTTCGAAAAAAGCCTCTGGGCATGGAAACCGCGTGTGTTATCAATGAAAATAAAGAATGCTTGTAATTTAACACATGCAGCGGGTGAAGTTTTAATGGGGGAAAGTGAAATAGAAAGTTTGGATGTGGAAGCAAAATGAATTAGTGCGTCCTGTTGTGCAGTGTAAAAGCCGGCGACTTCCGACCGGACATGCAGACACACATCGTGTGCCATGAAAGTTTTATCAAGTAAATCATTGACTGGTCTCTCCCTACATAATATACAGATAGTGATTAGCTTGATAAGCGTAATGCGCAAAAGATTTCTGGGAGTAAATCGATATAATATAACAAGTCCACTCTGGGGAATATGCGCTTAACAATGTCTGTATGCAATATCCCGGTTGCCTACATATATAACACATTATTGTGTATATGTAAATGGCCCAAACTGGCCAATTCTGTTCTATCGATTCAATAACGTTCTTTTCAGTGCCCAAAACCCCAAACCGGCGAAGTTATCCCAGTTGATCTTTTGGAGGGTTATTAATAAGGCTCTCTTTCTCTCTAGCTCTCTTTTCGCAATAACTGGCACGCAATAAATTCAGCGACCCTCAAAACGCATGCGCCGGCTATTTATGAACTACCGGAATGACGTACAAAGAAATGCCTTGTATGTTTGTGTGGGAGTATGATTTTAAATGAGATCTGACAGAACGTTTCACTTGTTCTGACACAGTGGATGCTTTTAGAAAAATTTTGTAACCAAACATGATTGATTATGCGGTCAGGCTGCGGTGTGTTGATGTGTACAATATACATGCAAAGTGCAATGTGCAGTGCCGGCTTTCAACAGCCACACAATGTTGTGCAGCCCATTTTGCACTACGCTTGGCTAACTACTTTTTACCACTATAATATGTTTACATCCCGCATCTTTTTGGGAGTGATGATGATGATAATGATTACATCGTGCACAACGACGAGAAGGCAAAAAGGATAATGAGACTCCGTGATTGATGTCGCTTGTTCGTTGGACTTTTTACTTTTCAGCGGGATGTAAGATGCCGGTCGAAAATACATTTGGCAAAATGGAAGGAAGAATTTAGGACAATTTAGATTGTCAGCAGTCAAAGAAATATATTTCCTGCGGTTTAATGAGGAATCGGATTCTCATAAATGATTTATGTTACGTAATGTTTGCAACATTAGAAGTGCGTAAGGCGTACGACGGGCATCCATTAGCATGGCACGCACACAGTGCCGTCACTTCTCCAGACGATGACCATTTAAATTATTGCACCAGTGAAACTGAGAAGTAATGAGTCCTATTCACCACATACGTTTCGATGGAAAAGCTCTATAATGTGTCGAAACTTTTGTACATCTCACAGATTTCGTATGCAGCAGCATAAGAAACGCTTGAAAATTTCAACGATTCATAAAACTGATAAAAGTAAAAATAACTACATACTGATTATATTTGATTTTTGAAGACATGCATAGTTAGCATGTGTATTTAATTCCGACCGGTGAGTAAGTAACTACTTGGTGCACAGTGCAGCCAGTCCAAGAAAGTTTTAATAACAGCTGCACACGAAAATTTCAATATTATACACCCACTAAGCACAATGCACGCATCTTACATAACTTTTGTTGCAGTGTTATAGCTAGATATCATGAAAAAGCTAATTAATATTGCAGTCGAGTGCGTAATGCAATATTAAAAAAATTTTTTCTCCATGACTGCAAGCACGAGAAGCGAGACTCTGTTCGTTCACAAAATTGCTAATTATTTTTTATCAATAGTGAGTGCAGTACAGTTCACATATTGTTTCTTTTAATAGCAATCAACCAGAACGGATTTTTTCTACAAAAAAAAATTATGTAGAAAGTTTTTAAAATGAATCTCTAGTGTGCATAACGAACTTGTAAACGAAAAAACAAAGCGCAAATTACTTCGGCACTGCAACTCTTCATGCCGATTCAGCGTGTTTGCATGTTGCGCAATGTTTTTATTGTCAGAATAATCAATGTGTAGATAATAATATGCCTAGATCAATATGAATTATTAACTTACCTATCCTGCGATGAAACGAAAAGAAAATGGTCAGTATCATCAAAAAATGATTATGCCAACTGCAAATCCGGCGGATAATCCGACGATACATTTCATTTCATCTACAGTGTGCGACATTTGAAACACGATCCAGCGACAGCGATAAGCCGGCTAGACATAATAATACAAAGAGCCGGTTTGACGCTGGCGTTGTTTGTAGATAAAAATTGCAAATTAAACCGACCGGAAGCTCGCACAGTAAATGGTCGAAATCCCGATGAAACTTAAGATAGGAAAGTGCTTTTATCCAAAATACATTTCCAGGTTCCAAGTAAAAGTGCACCAACTCGTCGTCTACGCATCCATTATCATAAACAGCCCGAATAAATTTTTACGTCAGATAGTGCACTGCTCCCGTCGACTGCAATGTGCAACAGCATAAAAGTGCACTATGATCTGTTGCCGGCGGTTTTGTGCGCAGCGGATTTAAGCTGTCGCTTGACGATCAGCATCCGTTACTGTAGGGATTTGTATGTTTAAGCAAATAATACACCTCCTATATACAGTATGTGCTTATGCGTGTGTACAGCACCGCCTTTTGTACAATATGCAATTCGTCGTTGCTGTTGCGCACAGACCCGACACAGTCCAGATGGAATATGTAGCGGAAATCCGGCCTTGCACCCAAGAGTCGAATCGGTTGATGGTCAGACGAAAAATTAGCACGGCTTGCCGGAAATTGGTTTTGGGCTGTTTAATGGCTGTTTACGCTGATGTGTCTTTATTTTTGTGAACAAAAAGAAACAAGTGTATCTAACAGGGATACAGCTCGCCGGTTGTAAAGGACTGTGTAATTTACGAGCTCGAGAAGGTCCATAAGAGCCTGAAGAAGTTGCTCTGGGTTTGAAATATGAGTGTGGTTTAAAATTGGGTTAACGCCTAATTGTGCCCCCGAGAATCCGCAGCACGACAATCATCGTGGTTGTATTTAGTCTTTTTGTGGACATGTTGTGAATTATAGCAGTTTGGGTGCAAATTGCTTATTACGATAAGTAGGATGTTTTGGAAATATCATAATGGAGTAAAACGCAACTGATAGCCGGAAAAGATCAGGCCGGAAACAAGGATACATTTGGTGGCTAGCTTATACAGGATCGTTCCACATATCACACTCACTAATGAATATACAAAGGACGCTCCAAAAGTAAGTTTCCCTATTTTGCGTCCCTGCCATTTGAAGTAATAGTCATGTGATTTATTTTTTGTTGTATAAGCAATTATGTAAACTAATTAGAGAAATAAGAATCAAAAGATTCAAAGAAGAACTGGGAAAACGAAAATCAGAATAGCAATACTACTTATACACTAATTTCCACGAGTTTTTTTGAAGCTCGTTCTTTTTATTACCACTTCCGTCCCTGTTGTAATTTCGACAGCAAATTTAAAGTACCAGCTACAAATACTGTTCTTAATATTACTGCAGTAACAGAATGGTTTGAAAAATTTCCGGAGGAGAGCAAACTTTTTTTTTCTCCACGACGCCGGAATCCCCCTTTTCAGCCTTCTTGCTGATATGAATCCAAAAGTTCTTGGCATCAATAAAAAGAAAATTTCATGCGCAGTCATGCGCCTCTTGGACACAAATAACTTCAAGTTGTACCGACAACAATAATGTTTTACAAGAAATTTTCGATTTTTTACCGTCTGGCACCTTGAGCAGCTCTGTGGTTTTTCCACCTAGTCATTGAGAGTTTTTACTTTTCTGGAAAAGCGTTGCACAGAAGTTGTTTTGTTTTGTTCTTGGAATTAGGACAGAAAAGAATTCCTAATCTGATGATATTTGGTGCTTTTCGAAAAGTGAGCAGGAAGACTGAGAAAAATAACAAAAACTGTCAGGGTAAAACCCGTGGCAAAGTGCCGAAAACCTTGGACGGCTTTCTCGGCAGTTCTTCTCCGTTTGATTGTAGTTAGATAGAGTTACATTTTATTTTGGTTCGTTAATGAAGGACGTTTCTAAAAATATGGTTCATAAGAAATAAAAGCGTTCAGGCCGGGAGATACAAAATAGGGAAACTTACTTCTGGAGCGTCCTTTGTACAAAGTAACATATACATGGCTCTAAATGCACGGCTTGCCGGAAATTTAAGTTCTAGAACTTAAAGTTTTTACTATTACTAATGGTACATTACATTTGTAGATTTCATGCATAAACTTTTTGAAACACGTCACGTCAATAACTATACATGTATACTGATTTATGAAAAAAACCAATTGTACTTACAAAAGCTAACCAATTTTTTGACATTGAACTGCCAAAAATAAACGTTACATGTATAATAAAACGTTACATGTATAAACGTTACATGTATAATAATTAAGCAATAGGATCGCCGGAATAGGGACGCATATCAAATAATTAAACAATAGGGACGCATATCAACGAAAATAAACAGGTGACAAAAAAATACATACGCAAGCCTAAAATTGATGAAAAAATTGTTAACTATAGTGGCTTATGATTTGTTTAAATAAACCAGATGCAATTAAACGAAAATTATTAAATATTCATAACAAAATAATAAGCGTATTAATGGAATGCGATAATCTAAAACTACCACAAGAATTGTTGTTTATAGGTCTAAACTTATTGCCCAACTGGATCACGAAAAGCGAACAAGCACAAAATCGCTGTCCATATTTAGGAGAGGAATAATGCTACGTCGACTACGGCATGAAACTGCAACAGACCAGTAACTGTTCCCGCTGTCGGCAAACCGGCTACGAAAAGAACTATAAAGTTTTTAAAGAACCTTGAAAACGAGGATACAAAAATTAGTCCTTGCCACCATATGCATAAACTGAGCATAGATCCTGTAATCTTTGAATTTGTTCAAAAGATAAAAGAAAGTTATTTTTAGCAGCGATGAAATAAATACGAGTATAACAGCACTGCACCTTTAGGCTTACCGGCAACATGAGTGCCAGTGTGTAGAAATTAGCACAATTTTTTGACACCAGTGATAACTGATAAATACTGTATAAAACACTTGCTGACATACTGGTTAGAACGAGAAATCGTTTGCAAAATCAGCTTTATTGCACACTAAGCGTAAAAACCCTGGATCTTTATTACCTCGCATTATTAGTTCGGATGTAGCTAATTTCGATAAAAAGGCTTGTCCTCAGGTTCGGCCCTAATAATGTATAATTAATGACTTTACAATTCACCGGCAACTACGGGTAGTTGCTGTACTCATCGTAGTGATTAACAATTTATAACTCTGCAATCTGTTATGTTATTATTTTAGAAATTACGTAATGATATATACAGCGTTACAGCCACGTACACTGTTAATCTAAATTAAACGGATTATTTTACAAATATTTTAATTAAGATTTAAGGGTATCCAACCGAACCTGCTAACTATATTGAAATTGCTAACATCAGAATTTCCCAGTGTTGGCAAATTAACTCCGTGTATGAAATTTTGTAAATTACTAAATACAGTTTTTCATGATACACAATATGTACTTATTAATCCGAGAACAGCGCAATCCAATTAAAAAAATAAATACCAGTCGCTCCATTCATCTGCGGTTTCCTCATAATAATAGTTTTGTAAACTGCAAGTTAATAATTTTGTTGGTATACTGCCATTGCCGACAACTTCTCTTCACAGACACATTGTGGGTTTATACGTGTTGGGTTATAATTACATTCGAGTGCAGTGACTGCTTTTGCTGCCAATTAAACTGATCTGGATGACTGACAAACGTCAGCAAACTGTAAACTGCCTTCCGTTATAGTGGCGAAAGATGCCTGGAAACCATTTAGGTGTACAGGCGTAAAACTTAAAATACATTAAGTATCGTGCGCCTAATTGCACCAATCTTTCATTTTGATTTCGTACACTTCCTTCCACCACGAGCGTGCAGATCTTCTGTAGCCTTCTGGCTACGGTCCTCAGTTTTGGATTTATGCCACCTCATTAAGGCGATTTTGCTCCCAAAACTGGAGCAGGAATATCCACAGGTTAAATAGAATGTCCTTGAGAACTTTATACCGGCATATTATTAACTTTTTTATAGAATGCAGACTTACCAATATTAGCCCAGCAGACTCTGCCACAAACTAATGTCTATTAGGAACTCTAATATCTGCATTCTAAGGTCTTCAGTTTGTTCTGATTTTAAACACCATAAAACCTCTTGTTGTTTTATGCCTAGTTTTAGTGGAAGTGAGCCATGACAAAATTTTATTAGTAAAAAACAGCCCAAAGTACGAAAACTTCAGGACGCATTGTATATGTACATATGTACAACGATACGTATGTAACTATGTGGTTCATGATCATGCACAATATTTTTCGAAATTATAAGATGAAACGCAGTAACACTTAAATTCCCGTCAGGAGCAATAAATAATATGCCGCTTGAGTGCACTAAATATAAACATATTATTGGAAGTAGATGTTTCTCCAACCATTTTACGTCATATCTTTTTTTGTCAAAATTTTCGCCTACAGAAAAACAGAAAAATAGAAAAAATGGAATTAAACGCTTCGTAGGATAGTATCTGTTCTGTGTCTGTGGCATTTTCTAATGGTGCGAGTATTAAAAGCAGTTTAAACTGGAATCCTAATGTATAAAAAAAATTTATAATATTGCAACATTCGCTGCCAGTACAGCATTTAAATGTGTACACAGAAAATAGATAACTATCTTATACCTGATTTTGCAACGTTTATTTGAGCATTTATATAGACATACTGTACTCGTATTTTGTCATGCACAGGTACAACTAATCATGTACGTAGCGTAGGTGCAAAAAACAAACAGCGAACAAGTTCGGAACAATTAAGTAGCGGTGGCGTTTTCGTGCAAATAACACGGTGAGCCTAATTAAATGTTCGTGATCGAAGCTTATGGATTTTTCCATCGAATACTCGTATCTATAACATTTCCATAATGATTGTTGGGTTGCATAAACAGAGGCTGTTACAATGCGAATATTGTTTCATATTAATATAAAAATAACTAAATCTATACTGTAAATGCGGCATTGGAGATTTAAATAGTCAGGAAAATGCTTGGGTGTACTTGTATAAATGAATCGTATGAAGTCGCCATCGGCTCGTTAGCCGACATACTGCGTCATGCGGTGCTGGAACAAAACCTGTGATTATAGTTTTTGTGATGGGCCAAGTTATGAACGTGCATCATTGTTTCAGCATGCTTTGCATGCAGCTTGTATGCTGAAGACATAATTTCACAACTTACTTATTAAAAGAAAAAAGTTGAGCTCATGACAGAGTGCCTTCAAACATATCTACGGATTCACCGCGAGTGTTGCGACCTTCTATATTGTGATCGAATGATAAATATCGTGATCGAATGTTAAATATGACACACATAATCTAGTAATGATCGGTTGCAAAATAGTACCTACTCGTACTGCTCAGTTGCTTATTACATCGCATAGTGCCATATTGGAAATTGCCAATTAATTGGCTATGATATTATGGTATTTTGTACATAATATTCTGTTGTACATAATATTCTTCAAGTGTTAAGCACAGTGGTGAAAACTGTGCTCTGCTCTGATAACATTCTGCGTTTTGAAACTGTCTGCATAATAGTTTGTGGACCCATGAATTCAGTTTATTCTAATTTACGTCAACTCCGTCAAGAAAACGTTTCCGCACCCAAATCCAGGATGCGGATGCCTTGATAACCTTACAATGCGTATGCAGTTTTGCGTTTTATGACTTCGTGCTCTGAAACTGTATTCCATCAACTTTGCAGCGAATTAATTATTATTGTCCTGGCCCGGTTTTGCCGCTCATTTTGCAAAGCGTGACACCGCTGACAGCAATAAAGCGATTATACGGAATCATTATATAAGTTCGTTGACAGGAAATGTAAAATCTGGCAACGACAGCAAGTTGAGTTGCATCAAATATAAATGTTTTAGCAGCTAATTGCTGCATTGCTAATGCACAATTGCAGGTTGACTGACGAGCCAGGTCTCAAGTCCAGTACCAGCCTCAAAGGTCACCTGCGGATTAGCAATCATTGTGCATAACTGATCTATTACTCTGCCTGTCGGCTGGATATCCGTTACAATATGGGATCCTTAACACTTAAGATTTCCAGGCTAGTGAATCTATTGCGGAAATGTCTGTGTTGTTTTATATTGACGACGGCGTTACTGCAAGGCGCAAAGTGTTTTCCAATGGGTCCCAGGGTAGGGAGATCATTTGGTGAATCGGTGAGAAATACCGCCGCTGATGATTCCGCGCAGTACGAAACGATAATAAGAACCCCGGATATGAACGATAGTTATGCTGCACTGGCGAAAGAAATTATTATCACACCGTCGGCAACTTTGTTAAAAATGTCGGTGGATCTTCTGCCCACTGAATACATGGTCCCAAAGAGAAACACACTGAAATACTGGCCCAACAAAACAATTGCCGTAGACATTTCAAGTCGTTTCGGTAAGTTTTCTTCTCTACCCTTAAATTAGTTTTCTTAATGTTTTAAGTAAAACTGTACTTTTCGTAGCTATTACAACGTCAACAACCATTTGCAGTTTTATTTATAATGTACAGGTGTCGCTTTGATGATTTGGTTTACATAATTTCTACAAAATGATTTAGATAAGCATCAACGTTAACAGTGCAGGCTGAATATCTTCAGCTTTTTTCTTCGTTTTTCAGTTTTCATATGGACGCTTACTGTAAGCATGAGCAAGTGTGGCTAGGAAAATAATTATAAATATTTTTTTATGACATGCATGGACGTTGTTTTGTAGCTCCCGAAGAAAGAATAACGATATGGAATGCACTGCAAGCACTATCCGAATCAGTTGATTCTTGCATAACGTTCATCAATAAAACTTTCCATGAGTCGGACTTTCTGTTTTTCCAAAAAGGAAAGCTGTAAGTTGTGAAAACTGTTATTTGTAAAGTGTATGTGAATCCAAGAAAATTACGGCCGAATGACCACCTATGACAAACAGAGCTAATTTTTGTGCTGCATATGTAGTAATTATGGGCAAAACTATGAAACTGGATGCAGAACTGTCAGGGTGCATAAAATTAATTGGATAATTTGGATTAGCGTGACAGTACATTTGTAAATATTAGCACGTGGTTCCTGCTCATGTTGCACCGCATGTTTTACGAAACAAGTTTTAGAAAATAAATTTGCATTTGAAATTATGGATGCCTAGATGTATTCGAGCTTGTTGGCTACTAAACCAAAATACAGCCAAAGTCGACAATTAACTACATTGCCTGCCAGCGATAAGTTTGGTTTTGCTGTTACTATTGCAGTTGCGATGCACGGATTGGCTATAACGGAGGACGACACGTTGTAAAACTGAGCGTGGAATGCTTAGATCCAGGCGAGCTGGGTTTTGTCCAGCATGAAGTTTTGCATGCCTTGGGATTTTTTCATGAACACTCCAGAAGCGATCGGGATAACTGGGTGGACATAAACTATGAGAACGTTAAGCCGAGTACGTACAACTGTCAGATTAACTGTAAATAAATTCCGTACAATGACAATACATATGTAGATTACTGTAAACCGCTGTTGTTTCATTAAGAAAACAAAACCCGCAGAAGCTCAGCTTAGTTATTGCGCAATAATTATCCAGCTATGAACTGACGTGCATCTACAAAAAACCGAGGTGATCATATCCTTTGTTTTTGCAGTTAAAAAGAAAGAATTTTCCAAACTGAAATTCCGTACATGGGATCTGCCATACGATTATTTAAGTGTTTTGCATTATTCATCCGATGCATGTGCAGTCAACGACACGATACCAACCGTCAAACCCACCAGCTTAGCCGTCAGTTTAACAACTATTGGCCAGAGGAAAGGACTGAGTCCCACCGACATCCAGAGAGTAAAAATCCCATATATGTGTGGAGAAAATTTGGCCATCGGTGATACACGCTGGGCTGATATGAATCAAAGGAGGCAATCCCGAAAACAGGACGCCGTCGACGATCCTTATGCGTCTCCCGTACAACAGGAACAGCAGAACGATGAATGAAAGGTCATGTTCTGTGGCTATATTATCTCAAAGTCAGCAGAACATACCTATTAACGTGTGGGTCAACTCTTTAATTGTTTCTGCTGCGGATCAGTATTATGATGCTCAGTAGTTTGTGTCGGTGCTTTGTGTGTAAATGATTGATAAATTAAATATTTTTACCCTAAGGAATTGATCATGAGTTTTTGGATTTGCACTAATTTAATGGTTTGGCTAATTTACACTGACAATAAATTGACTACGCTATGTATAGCAAAAGCTTAATGTTAATCAAACATTGGTAACTTTCATCAAGCTTAATTGGATTTCGCAACGACAACCGCTATTTGAAAAGTAATTGAACCAGCTAAATTACTGAACACTGAATGCATGCACGATATTCTGCTATTCATGTGTATTGTATTAAATCAATTTCATCCTTCTGTACTCCCGTTAATATAAAGTTCATAACTTCATATCTCGTATTCTCACATTTTACAATTTAATTTAAACTTCCGAAAATATCGTGTGCAGTATAACCGAAATATAACCGATGTGTTCAAAGAAGCTCATAGACTTTCGCCATAAAAATATTATATTCTTTAACAAAAACCGGAAACAACTGTAACGCAGTAGCATACTGGAGGCCGCGACGCCGTATATAAAAAATACAACCTATTTGAAACACTTGGAGCTTTCGGACCGGAAGTAATTTTCTTGATCACAAAACTCGGGAAGAAGGTGGGTGGAGACGACAGGAAACAGGTGAGATATGGGCGACAGAGTTTCCACACAAATGGATCAGCATGGAAATCCAACGCGGAAAGCCGGCCTCATGTCACAAGAACAACCAGCCTCGGGAATTTATACGAAATGTTCTGACACGTGTGACGAGGCCACCTGTTTCCACAGTCGGCTGATGGCTTTTTACTTTTATAAAAACTTGTGACTGTTTTGTATGGTCTTCTGAATTATTTTAACGGACTTTACAACAATACACTGAAAGATGTCGACGGATTAAGTACTGGAGTATGTGAACTTGATAATCCGATTGAATTTTCTAGCTACATGTACACCTTCCATCTACTTGTACAAACGCTCACGATTTGTATTGTACTGCTTCACTCATATCAGAAGGCTCTATAATCTGTATTAAGTCTGTATTGACTATTGAGCAGTGCTTAAATAACAAGACAGCCAACAATTGTTGCAATATGCGAAAGAATCATTTAGTTATTACTACCGGATTATTCCAGTACGTTTTTATCCGCTTTTTAATTTAATTCTTATGGGCATTGCGCAAACGTCAAGTGAATATAGGCTGCCGGTAGATGGTTCCACAATACACTTCGGTATCGTCGCCATATTTAGTTTTTTTATCACTATACGCATTCTGCACAGCTCTTCTATTATTGGTAAATAAATTCATAATTGATGCCGATTTGGTCTAGAACCTTCTTTGTGATCCTGGTAAGTGTAAGCGAATCTTGATGGCTGTAATACGGACTTTCGATCCTTCCTGCAAGGAAAATCATCGCGGTTTAATTTATTCTTTTTACCGTCCTTAGGCGTCCTATGATTTATCATTTATTAATACTGGAACATATTCTCCCACCTTCAAGAATGCATTTCCTGGTTTCGGCAATCTCGTAGCACATTCCCTGCCCGTTTGGGTATGTCGTTTTGTGATCAGTGAATGGTAAAGGAAATTTTTCGACCCCAGCTGGGGTTACGAGCTCAGTTGGTGACCAAAACGGATGTGGAACCTGGATGTTGCGTTATGTGCATATAACCCCCATGTTTCTACCATAAACTACAAAGTATTATCTGATTGAAATCTACCTTCAGGCAAGCAATTTGGTTAACTCCATTATTATCTCCAAAAACTGCCGCTTCACAGTTGATGCGTGCTAACAAAGTAGAAGTCAACTGAGCTATTCCTCCATTCTTATACTTCAAGATCATTCCCAGGCTTAGGTCAACTCCTGAAACAAAAGTGTTGGTTACACTAGTGTTCGACACGGCAGATATTAAATATTATGATTTAGACCTAATTTTCAAAACATCAAAATAGATATGCACAAATTTGGCTTAAAGCAGAGACAGATGTACTTATTCAAGATCATGGCAGTTCTCATTGTTCCGTCCTTCATGTTTGCAATGCTACGTTAGCCAGAATATGCTTACAACAAAAGTTATACAAAGCCGCTCATGGTATATTAAAGGTCTGTGCTCAATATTTATTAAACGTCATGTAAATATAACTGCGTTTTATATAAAAATTGTATACGGTAACTTATCACGGTCATACCGTCTTCGTTTTTCACCACCGATGTCACAATCTCCTCCGGCATTTCATTGCCAAAAACCAACATTGCAAACTGGATAGTGTAAATGCCCAAATCTACGAGACTTCCGCCGCCCATGCTTAGCGTTTTCAGACGTTCGACGTGGGCAATATTCAACCCAAACTGCGCTGTTACCAGTTTTGGTGTGCCCAAAAGTTTTTTGCCAAGGGAATCTCGAAGCGCCAAGTATGCCGGAAAGAAGCGACTCCAACAAGCCTTTAAAGTATAGCCAAATTTAAATGCATTAAATGGAAAATGTGGTGTCGGGTACATACACTGCACATAGACTATCTGTACACACACATGACCCCTGAGTATAATTGGCATAACAGAAATTTTTACAGTGTAATAAGTTGTTGTATAATATCTAGGCTACTGAGCAGTAGTTTACTAACTAAACACTTTTCATTTCACAATTACCTAATTATATAAAATTTAGTGAAAGCGACGATTTAAAACAAAAGCATAAAAATCCTAAAGAGAAAACCGTATAAAGATTACTCTAGGGTGTGGAAGAACCCTGTTAATATCAAATTATCAATTACAATACCCCACGTAAATGTTATTTTCGCTAATTTTTCTGCAAAACCGAAGTTATCATATGATAGGATGAAGGAACCTGACCTGCACAGGTATTACTTACTTCCATTAAAAAGCGGTTTTGCTTTTTCGCAAGCTCGTAGAGTTCTTCAGTGTGTTTGAGGAGCAGTGTAATTGGCTTTTCGCAGAGGACATGTTTTTTATGATTGAGCATCAGCTTGACAACTTCGTAATGCGTTATGTTGAATGTTCCAACATACACAACATCTAAAAAATAAAGGCATGCGCTTTTAAGTTCACAACATACTTAAAATGTACCTAAATCCCAAGTGCCAAATTAAGGAAATAAAAGACATGCTAATAAACATTAAACATTTAGCAAGCAATCATCGGTAAACAGTACTAACCAACTTCTTGGTCTTGCGCAACCTCCTCGTATGAGCTGTAAACTTTTTTTATATGGAAATTGTCGGCAAACGCCTGAGTTTTCGCCCTGTCCCTGGTACCGGCAACCGCAACAATCTAAATATAATACAAAAATGGATATAAGAAATGAAGTAGAACAATACTAGCTGAAATTCGATAATTACCTCGTTCTCTCCTTTCGGTAAAGTATGCAGTGCAATAGCGAAATCATGGCTGATGTTCCCGGCACCGCAGATAGCCCAACGCATGAGCACCATTTTTGTCGAATTGCAATTTTAACGAATTGTAAATTTCACGAACAGTATGAGGAGCAATTCTTTGCTGACTGTACTTTTGAAATCAGATCAAACAAGTCAGATACGAAGGCGCGGATGCTACGGAAAACGACTGTGCACTTCCCTGAAGCATTTTTTTCAGATGGCCAATGCATGAGTCACTGACTCCAATATATCACTAAATCCAGTGAAAACTAGATATTTTCAGTCTAAATTGCATGACCTTAGGGTACACAATTGGCAAAGTCGAGGCCATGCCAAGATGTCTAGCTAATCGGGTTCTGAAAAATCTACCAGGTACAAAGCTTCGATTTTTAAAGCACACAGTATACAGACGACCGGGCTAAAAGCAGACGTTCTTTCAAACACAGTCGCAAATCAACCATATATTTCTGCCGTATATTTTGGCCATATATATTTTTGTGCCGTACTTCATGATCATGACAATTTTTTCGACATGACTTTGAGCTGACGGAGATTTTACGACAACGGCATCAGTATTCAAGAGAGCATGGTATAGCGTTTTAGATGCATTAAACCGCACTGAAACTGCAGATAATACAGCACTTTCGGTTTAATGAGAAGTGGCAACCTCACAGGTCGGAGTCGTTATCGAAGAACGGTTTTCGAAGCATCTGTGCACAAACAATGCTCAACTAATTTATAAAGAATTGTGAGTTAGAACTTAATTAACGTCGATCACATAATTATAATAATATAGTATCCTGTATTAGAACTATAGCTAGTGACATCCGCTTGCATTTGATTTGCATTCCATAGCGAGTAACAAGAAGTCAGTAATTCCATCCAACGCGCTCTTCCCTTTTGCTCCGCAGTTCTTGTTAACAATCGGCGTGTAGCATGCATTTCCGTTTTTTATTACGCTAAAAATAGAAAGAAAATTTTGACTACCTTATATATGAAAAGAATATGAAGGTGCCTAAATCTAATGTGTCTAATTATCTAAGCATACGACGCAGTGGAGGGAACTTTCAACTTTGATATCACATTATACCGCGAATTACTTATTGCTCCCTTTGATACATACCAACACATGCCGCTGAAATCGATTTTCCCATCCTTGGTATCAGCCAGAGAAAGGGTCCGATCGATGACGGTGAAGTTGAAACAGGATTCAAATCCTTGGCGATTTTTGTTATTGCATTCAGTTAAGTCTTGCAAGTTCCGTCGGCCTCCGGCGCTTGCACATCCCTGGGTCAACGTGTTAGCAAAGTCAAAGGTGCTTTTCATTGCTGAAAAAGCATCGTTCTTCCAACATTGTTGAGGAATCTTTGAAGAACAGCCTGCCGTTTTTGAAAGTGCGCTGACATCAAAAGAAAAGATTGTCAAATACAAAGGAAAGAGATATGGTTGACGTTTGAATTAGTGACCGCTGCTATCGCTAGCCGCTATAGTCCCGCTACTGATCATGAGAAAGAAATACTGAGCTCTCGATATAGAGTGCAATGCTGATCGACAAAAAATTCATGTTTATCCGATAATTTGTTTAAATGAACACTCGAAGTACAATTTCTGTTACATTAACTTTTGTATATATATACTAACGAATACCTATGAGAGTAGTTTGCATTCGTAAGTTTATTCTCATTGCACAGAGCCTCTGTGCACTCTATCCCCTCTAGCTGTGACAGAGGGATAGATCCTCTGTAAAGATAGAGCTGCGATGTACCGCCATCAGTTTAAAAAAGTGATATTAAATTGTGTTTCACAGACTACGCTTGAGGCAAACGCCATTAATATGTTTAAACTTACTCGCATTTCTTCAGGATATCAGAATTGCTACTACCGGACGAAGTGGATTTGCCTGCTGCTGAAGGATCGTCGATGCAGTTAGCCAAACCTTCGAGGACGCTCATACAATCATCATTTGGATTAGCTGCATTTACTCCCTGAGCGGGCAGATTCAAATGCAGGACCGTTATCAGGAAAGTGGATAGTAACACTTGCTGCTGAGATAGCATTTTTTGGCGATTATTAATGGAATAACTATTATTGTTAATAAGCGTTCGACTATTTTGCAGTCAAAACCACCCCGTCAAGAAGAATTGAAAGTAAATCCTAATCTACGTATACCCTAAGCATCAGAAAAATTTATAAGGCAACGACTCTGGAAGCTAGGTATCTGTAGAGATACGTGTAGCACACTCTTTGCAGTAGCAGCACAAAAAATGCCAAACAATGTGCCTCATTTACCGGTGTGCAGGTATAGCAGGAAAATGTGGTCATACAACCTTTTCGCAGTTCCGTTGTTTTGACAAGCCGATGATCCGATTGTTTGTTTAAGACTCACACACACAGTCATCGCGTTTCTTACATGCATGGTAATCTAATAAACGACCGGTTTTGGTTTTTTTCTTGGATGTTTTTACATCCGGCGGTCCGGGGAATGTCTCCACACCTCGCCTTTAACTTACGCATCAGCCAAAAAGACAAAACTGAAATTACCCTGCTTAATTTTAGGGCATTATAGTTAATCTACTCATGGCGTTACGCACCTCCAGGCTCCGTTATCGTGTACCTTAAAACCTTTTGATATACAAAAATTTAATTTAACTTTAGATATACAAAATAATTGTTACAAAATACTTATTGGTTCGATATGGCCGCATGTGCCCTCATCCGGTTAGGGTTACATGTGCCAGCGCGAATCCGCCGATTCAAAAAGTTTGACATCCGGTCACTTGAACAACAGCTTGGCTTTTCCGGTGAATTCACCGATAACTGCGGCCGAGGGCGGGAGTATGGCGTTATTATGATCTGGCCACTTGTGCGAGTCAGCGATCGTTTCGCTTTGACGCTTTCCGTATCAGACAAATTATTATCTCAAAATATATAAGTAAACTCAAAATATATCTTCCTTTTGGCCTTTGGAAAGAATAAGATTAAGGTTTTTCTGGTAATTTATTCGCGATGGAAACGGACGACCCCATCACTGAAAACTTGGTTACGAACCAAGGAGAACCAGCATCGTCTGAGGATGTCTCTTCTGAGTCGTGAGTCTTAAGATCGACGCGTACCCCTGATTATCATCCCCGATGCAGTGCCAGTTGTTTTGCTTCGAAGATTGCTGGATATTTCTCGCACATTAGAATGAATTTTCTTATTTAGTGGTGCACAAGATACTTCATCAAAAAATGTTGATTCTGGAGAACCGGCGGAACCCGCAGCGAAGAAAGTGAAACTGGATGTTGTGGTTCCTGAGGATTATGTGAGTGTTCTCTTGCGCCTGTCGCGCCGAAATGAAGTTTTTCCGTTTTTGATTGTTTTGGCCCTTTGGGTAAACGACCTTAGCAAAGGTTTTCGTGGTTTAGCAAGAAGATGACGAAGAATTTCCAGCTGACTGGAAAGAGACCGCAAATGAAGAAGAGGAAGAGGAGGAGGAAGAAGGTTTCAACATTTCCTTAGACGAAGTCAAACCGAGGTTTGGTGCTTTTAGTTTGGGCTGTAGGATATAGGGTTCCATATTTTGTGCGGCTTTGTCTACTGCCGAACCAACTAAGTTTTTATAATTTTTAATAAAGAACTTGTTATGGGATTTAATTTGAAATTTATCAATATTGATCTAAAAAATTTCCAATAAATCTTTGGGCAGCATTACGCTGTAGTTTATTTATTTTTAGTATTTCCAAAAACAGCTATGAAGGTTTGCTTTAGGATGGCGCATGTTATAATCAGTTCGTTACGGTGATAATTTTTTCCCGTGTATAAAATTGGGCGCGTGCAGTGGTCATGGTTGGTTATTTTTTGCAGGATTGATTATCGCAAAGGTGAGGGCTGTTGAACATCTGATGTGATGCGAATGTCCGTTTGAAGTTATACTTGGTGCCCTAAGCCCGAACATCTACGATGAAATTGATTTTTAGCGCTTCTTAATAAGAAAAATATCGACTTCAACGATGTTCCGGAGATTAACGGGGTTCCCGTCACGGAATTCAACATCGATACACTTGAGGACAAGCCGTGGAAAAAGCCTGGTTGGTGATCTACGCATTGTTTGAGTTCGTTGTTCCACTGACGTGCTTGCGATCAAAGATGGGCTGATAATATTTCAGGAGTGGACATTTCGGACTACTTCAATTATGGCTTTAATGAGGATTCTTGGAGGTTGTACTGTGATAAACAACGCCGCATGCGTAGTGAAGCCCAAACTGCTGAGGTGAGCGTCGCATTATTATTCTGATGCTAACTGACTGGAACTTGTTTGTGCTTTTCGTCCTCCTCTGGGAGAACAGGCGAATTCATAAGACAATAGTTATCACTTATCATACATAAAGGTGACGTGTTTTTTGTCGCGCAAATTCAGTAAGAGATTACTTAGTTGAAATTTTCGTGTCGATTTTTTCTTACGTTTGTCTTTCAGGCTGCCGTTTCGATATCCACCGTGGGGAAAAACGGTAAGATTAAGCCAACGGCGATAAAAAAACGGCGATAATTTTTAGGATGATTGTATGTGTTTCTTATTTCATCTCGTGGTATTACCGTATTATTGGCAAAATTTCAGATTTTCCGTTAAGGTTAAATCTTTATTAATCGACCGAAGTTTTACTGAAACTCGTTGGTGTTGTAATACTGTATTTAGGGAGGTGAATGTTCTGAAATTTTTCGGTCTTATTTGCAGACAACAGCAAATATATTCCTGGAAGCAACCGAATGAATATGCCTGGAGACCAGTCCGCTCCTGGTCAGCCATTCCGTGCACAATTTAGGCGCCGGCAGCCGGATGGACAGGGTCATAATCCCATTCAAGTGCTGAACGAGTAAGAAAGCATAAACTGAGAAGATAATCAGTTTTTGTCATTGCCATAGGCATGAAACAGAGACAATATATTTTGCAGTCGTAAACCGGAAGGAGGACCGATGATGGGAATCCTACCGGGAGGAGGAATGCCCTTTCCGGTACCTAATCCCGGCATGATGGGAGCTCAAGTGGGCATGGGTTCATGTAAGTTATCTTTAGCGCGTTGCGCGCGTACTGTATACATTCGGAATCAGCGATGCCTGTGCTTCTTGCAGCAATGATGATGAGGCCACTGAATGATTTGCCACCGCAGCAACGTAATTTTCCCCAGAACCCTTCTTTTGCTAGTGGTATGTGATTGCATGATGAAAGCTGATAAGTTGTGGGTTTTACAAGAGTTGGGATTTCTTGATGTTGGCTTTCTTTGTAGGTGGAAGAAGGCAGCTGACCACTATTAATCTCACAGCCCCGGCATCTGACAACAAAGAATCATCCTCCTGACCTGACTGAACCTTTAGCCATTCGTATCTGTTGGCTACATCCAGGAAAGCATCTGACTTTTTACAGCGCATGCTGTGCACATTTATATTGATTTTTATACGATGCTACTTTTGAGATGTCATTCGTTAGACTGGATTTTAGTTGTGGTGGATTGTTCGAGCTACATGGTTTGGCTTCGACTTATCTTTCCAGTCGACTTTTCTGCCCACAATCGATGTAAAAACTTTGTCATAGCGTTTTCCCAAGCATTCCGTGGCGTCCGCATTTAATTTAAATTAGAACATTTTTAATCTTTATTGGGAGTTCGCCTCTTCCCACAAAGCGGTATCAAAGACATGCGAAAAGAATGATTTTTAAGAGCCAAGCAAACATAAAACATAACAAACCCAACAAAAAATTACGCACATTCAACCTCTTCAGATCATTCGGTTTTAGCGTCTTTTTCCGGTCTAGTTTTCTGGCCAGAAGTGGCCACGACATAATGGTAGAGAACTACCAATAACATTAAGCTAACACCGAGAATATTGCAGAAAACTCCCAGCTGAACGTCTGAAATCATTGTGGATTCTGTGGCGTACAGGCTTACAGACCTCTCGTCCAGGAATCGAAGGACCGCTAATCAGTTTCCTATGTAAAAAATAAGGGATGGGCAAGAGATGCAAAGATAATATTGTGCAACGATGTTATAATGGCGTAATTTGCATGTTCTTACTGGTTTCCACAAAGCGCAAGAACCTCCGAGCGGAATAACAATATCGGACGCAAGAGTGGAAGAGAAGAAACAGAAATCATAAAAATATGGAAACAAATCAACGTCACCAAAAAGGCCAAGACATGTAAATACGGTACGTAGAGACAATCTTTTATAAATAAGTTCAAAAGGCAGCGTACGCCGAAAAATACAGCAGCACACGCCTAACCAATGGTAATTGTCGAAAATGCAACGACCACTCACCCCCACTTGAACAAACCGAAGGCAGGCTAAGAGCCTTACACGTTGTGAGGATGCAGGTGGCGTGCTAGTTAAAGAAACGAGCCCGGCTTACACGCTCACCCCCCATGCGCCACCTCTTCTACCGTTAACCTCGATGCGCAAGATTTGTACACGTAAACACGTACACAATGCGGTGTTGGCTGCATACGGCATTGCACACAGCTTTACCAGCGATAGACTAATTTTATTGATCGCAGTCTCCAGAATATTTTTGAATATTTCGCTGGGTTTTCTCAGTTTATATTTCCTGTTTTTCGATTCAGAGTCTTTGAAACAACTTCTTTGTGATACCCATTTTGTTCTGCGGTGAGTGAGTGCTACGGCTGGTTTATATATTTCAAAATACGATAAACTTACAACCTTCCGAGTTCCGACCGCGTTTTATATGCTGCTTTTGTAGTTTTGTTCGTGTCATTCTGAATATAAGTACAGTTACTGTTCATACACTTAATTAAATATAATAAAACTGTAAGAATAATAATTAATTTGATAATTGTGATCGTGACGTTGAGTGGCTTCAGTGAGTAAAACTGTAAAAGAAATAGAAATGTCATAACTCAATAAGTCGGAAGCAGACTGTTTCTAATTTGCATAGCTTTTGCTGTTTTGCAGTTTTGCGTCTTGTCACCGAAAGTTACGCGTTTTGTTTTTTGTGTTGTTGTAAACTTGTACATTTCTGTCTTTATTATCTAGGTTTCTGGGTAAAGCTACGGCAAACCTTCTGCGGTGACTGTAAAGACTAAAAGGTAAGTCACCGTAAGCGCATGCAGACTTCTTACTTGTGCTCCCTGATATGGGTGATATTCGCTTCTTTTTAAATTTAACCAGTTGAATTCGAGAATCGATTTGGTAATTAGCGCATGGTTTGATGCGTGTGTTACTAATTTTGAACGATTCCACGCTTGATAAAAATTGTATCATTTGTGTACATTCTCTAATTATGGAATGTATTAAGTTTTAACATGTACGATATACAGACAGCATTTTGCTTACACCTTAATTTAATTTAATTCGAATCAGAGCAGGTAGCCCATTTCCGGCTAGGCCCTAGGGTGACAGTCTAGCTTGGGATTTTAAACCAGGATTTTAAACCTTTAAACCTTATGAGTTGTAACATTTAACAAACTTGAAATTTATTTACCGGTGCTTTTTTCTTAAACTTTTGTGTAAGTAAGTTTAGTAATTACAGTGTGGTGGAGTGACTCAGTAATCTGAGTTCATATTAATTGATATTATTTTTCGTAAATAATCATGAAGTAGTTTAAGTTGCCTATTAAATTCTGCCTATTATTTTGATGGCTATTAGTATTACTATTGCCTACTAAAAACATACGGATTTCTTCGTCGTAGATGGATCAAGTCAATCAGTTCGTCGATCCGATTCGTCAGTTCGCCAAAGATTCCTTCCGACTGGTGAAACGCTGCACGAAACCAGACCGAAAGGAGTATCAGAAGATAGCGATGGCTACTGCGATCGGCTTCTGCATCATGGGATTCATCGGATTTTTCGTGAAACTGATCCATATCCCTATTAATAACATTATTGTTGGTTCTTAGTTAACCCTTTTGTTCGATTGAGGGTTCGTTTCAAAGGTTGGCGCTTTGTTTACATTCTTCTTTTTAAAAAATGGCTTATTTTATCTGCATATCCAAAATGTCGGTGTTTGAGAGATTGTCAATATAACATTATACGATTACGGACTAGTACGGATGCAATGGAGTATGTACATGAATAAAATTTCTGAGTTGTTTCGTTTTCTACGGAAACTTTAAAACGTGAAATTAAGAAAGTGGAATACTCCATGAATACACGCCGATATTATGAACTCGCATTACTGAACATTCTCCATCAGTTCGTACAGTTAAACGAGCAAAAGTCTTTGTACAATACAAAAATATTGTAAGTCGCACAGTTTCTATCACCTTGTCGACGAATTAAAAGCATAAAACTGATAATCCATAAAATATTCGCAGCTGAAAAACATATCTTCAGAATTACTAATAACGTTCCTGGCCTCTCGGTTTAAACTAAGAAAACCACAAAACATAATAAAATAGCACGTTCCGAATTGCGCGAAAAAATTAGTCTTCAACTGGTTCGGACTCTGTGTCACCCACACTTTTGGAAAAATCCTTGGACACGGGTTATCACGTCAGGTGTGGTGCGGAGAAGTTGAGTGGGACCTTGTGCGTAGTAAAAACGTTTTTGCTGGTTTTTTTATTAATAACGTTTTCGTTGCGGGAAGAATGCGTCGGACATGCACTGGCATTGGTATGCAGGCTGGTTTTTCAGAACCTTGCAAATTAGCTGGTCATGCGTAGCCGAATTCCTTGGACTTTAGATGTACGGTAGTGGTTAATTAGCGACTGACGATGTTCTTTTACTTCTTTAGTAAGTACTGCAATCCGGCGTCAGCGCTTGCAGTGATTGCATGCCTTACTGGAACAGTGAGCAGCCACCTGGACATCATCATAACGAAGTGGATTTCGTTGCAGCTAAATGCTGAACTAAATTTGATCATATGGAATTTTGTACACTGGACTCAAAAGAAATATTTAAAATGGGAAATTAACACTGCACTTACAGTAACTATCAGATCAGCCGATCGACTGACATGGATGCGCATTGCGCGGCATGCTTGGCACACTGACAAAATGCGAAATGATCGCTCTAGAATTTTTAGCTACATTTTTGCATCTAACTGTTGCCTGATATTAATGTTTCACCTTTTCAGTATTTATCTTTAGAAGAGCGAAAGATAGTGTGCGAAGTTACGAGCATTAGTGCGTAGAAGTTTTGTATGAAAACACAGGTCATCATTTCGCCGGAAAGTATGGAATCATAACCTAAAGGAGCGCTGAATGCACATATACGGCAAAGGTCATCTGAAAAAGAGCGTCGGTTCGTTGAATCGACTTGCAGGATTTCTTTATTGGGCAAAATGCCATCAACGTAACAAAATATGCATACGCGTAATACTACATAAAATGATTCGAACTTAAACGTTAAAGAAACAACCAAAATCGTTACCGCCGTCTGGCCGTTTAGGTCGCATATTCATAGTGCCCAAAACAGCAGCAGCATTTCCTTTAACAACTGCCAGACTAAGGGGCCAGTGCGCTAAGCATCTTCGGTAGCGATTACGAATCCGATTAAGACATTTTCTCCAGAAAATTTCTAAATCGGTTTTCGAGCTTAGCGCACACTGCCCTAAATCTCTGCTTTAACAAGGCAGTAGAGCGGGTTATCCTGCCATGTCGCGAATCTTTCTGCCAGCGAAACGAATAACCTCCGCGAATGCCGAACCAAATGCGCCAAATGTCTCGACTGCCAGGGGGTATTATTATAAAATAAAGCAGGTAACCCATTCGAAATGAATGGACACCACCCATTCCCTCCACAAAGCCATATTGTTGCAGGATTGTTTGCCACCGCTGTAGCTGCATTTGTGAGATTTCTCGATGAAGTCGTATGAATCATTCGTAAATTCTTGCGTTTAAAGTTTTTTTGAACTTTCGGAAGTCAGTGGCACTTTGGTTCGATGGCATCCCTAATTTCCTCTCCATAATCCAGGCGTGAGAACGGCTACTCGGTTTCCTCTCTTTTTTTTAGGGAGGGTTGGCTTAGAAATTCGTGCAAGTTTTGTACACCACTCCAGTGTGCTGCCCCGTAGTCTCCTTATTTTTTAACGACTGGGTGACAACATTGTGATGAAATTTTACTGGCATAATGTAAAAGTCAAGGCCACTCCAGGGTTCTTTTCAGACTGTAGCTCAACTTTCCGCCATGAATAGTAAACGGCTGAAACAACTGTTCCGCCTGTGGTTTGGAGAATACAGTACATTAAATTTTATTTTTAATACACAGGACAAAATAGTTCACAAGTATACGTTTTTGTGGACCGACAGATCTAGAGGTTGTATGACTTTTATCTCATTCTGAATTTGTTGGCAGATTAGTACTTACAATTAGATGTTGCCAACATACAGTTACAAACTTAGCTTATTAAATTTTCTCGAATGGATCACCACGAGTTCATGACTATGATTTAATTAATTTTTACACTCTACTTCAAATAAATTATTAATGATAGGGTTAGAAATAAATTATTAGTGATAGCTCTACGAATGAAAAGTTTTTCTTTTTTCAGAAAAACCCTAATTCTTCTTCCAACTCTAACCATAAAACAGACTCATAGTCATGGTCAGTAGAATACGTTCGAATGCTTGTAGACGCCGGCTTCGAGCAGCCGGTGCGAATTGTCCTTCAACTTTAGATGATAACTGATGATTTGAATCATTTGACCTATTCCAGGTATTGGTATTCTGAGTCGAGACTCGAGGACAGTGTTAATATTTAGAAATAATATTTAGATTCAGAATGAATTAATTCGCCTTATGATTAGTAGTATAAAGTCATAGACCTGAGTAAAACAGCTTGCAGGAAAACGTTAGTTTAACGTGTATCTGTAACTACCGCTCGGTGAACGGATGTGTGTCAATTTTAGCCGTTTCCTAACGTTTATCTAACGTTTTTTTTGCAAGTTGTTTTACTCGGGAAAGAATTATAGTATATGAACCGTACGGTCCGTACCGTATACTTTGCCCTATAATTAATAGTTCGAATTGGAAGTATTAATGGAGATCGTCTGAACGAAAACTTTCAAGAACAGACTCACCGTATATCCCTTTAAAGTAAGTACTTGTCCTGCTGCTGCCAGATGTGCCAACAAAACATTCCTTCGTCCAGGACTCCTATACACGGCGCGAGTCCGCCGGCGACGCACTACTGCAAGTCTGCAGCTGATGTGCATATACAAAGTATATCGGGCAAACTGCGAAGTGCGAACTAAGGCAGTAAACGAGGGCAACCGCATTAATTTTAAGTTTTTGCGTCCTGTTGTTGATAATCAGAATGACAATTTAATAATCGTAAGATCACTGATCAAGGTTCCAGACTTCACTGCGCTTGTAAGTTACAACTAGCCCATTGCGCTGATGTCCAACAAAGGTTTGTAAATTTTGCCTTTTTTGCACATTAAAAATGGCCTAAATTAGCAGTTAACTTTGAGAAATATGAATATGAGAAAGAGTGGAAGATCTCAGCTAACACATCATTATTCTGGTAAAATAATAAGTACTACGGCGCATTTGTGAAACTCAGATTTACGATTTATCCCTCGAATTAGAAGAGTAGAATGCCATTATGCCAGGCATCAGCGCAGCCGCAGCTTCGGTATGGGCGCCCGAAAACACCGGCTGCCCCAAGCTCCAAGTTCCAACACAATCAGCACACTTGTCGCTGTATACACCACATGATCCAGTTTCGGCCTGTTTGATTTTTGTACAGTACTCGTACCTGCGTTTTATGCTTTTTCCTTTGGCCTGGCTCGGACTCGTACGACGTGTACTGACTAGTGAGTACATTATTGGCATCGACTGACCCATTGCTGGAAACGATTTTCCCTAATTTTACTACTTCTACCCTTAATCAAAATTTTGGTTACAACATATAGCATGTGCAAATTTTATTAAATTGTGTTGCATACATCATACATGCAATTATGCATTAATACAACTATTTTGGCAAGTTGAAGCACCTTATTATAAAATTTTTATTTTAGATTATAAATTTCATTTTAGAATTAATTATTTTTGGTTGAATTTTACACCAACTTGAGAAATTCTGTATCTGTTAACCGTGGGAGCGTACATATGGCTGACAATACGATATAATTATAAGGTCAGCTCTTGAGTCTTGAATCTTGATGTTAACCTGTGGGCTGTCGTTAACTGCAAGTTTGTAAATTATAGTAAATGTTGACTGTTTTCGATGCGCACGATCAAGTGTTAACTGTGTTAATACAAATTAAATAAATGTTAAGTTCCAAACTAACAATAAAGGATAACGATTCACACCACAATTCAAACCACAATTTTATAACAAAGCGCACTGCACAATGGCTGCGGGGACTAATACTGTAAGTAAATTCTGTTATAAACAGTTGGTTCGAGTACGTACGAATTTTACGAAATTGCTTAACATGATAGTTTTGTACGGCTTATTGGGACCGGATAAGTGAGTAAGTAAGTGTTGCTTCTGTAGTAAAATATTGATTCTTACATCATTAGCTACAAGTTTGTGAAACAGAAAGCTCTGTTTAAATTTAAAAGGTCGAAATTTTAACACATCAGTTAAACTGTACCTGATGTGTTAAAATTTCGACTTTGATGATCAAATTGAAGTCGATCAAAGTTTGACCTACAATGACATTTTAATTTTGCTGTGGAGTCAAGTTATAGATAATTGTACGGATGCCATAATATTGTGCGTATTGTAAGTTCTGCCTCGCCAGTTAATCTCGTGCTAACGCTGATATCATAATAATTATTATCAAATATTTACGAAAGTTTTCTCAAGCTGGAAACAAGCAAGAAAGGGCAAAATGGAGCTAGCGGAAAACTACTGAACTGAAGGGTGGTCGTGGGTGGATATACGTTCCTGACATTGCAATTGCTTTATGTTAACTGCGTCTGAACCTTAATCTTATTTTTATTAAAGCGATGTGGAACCACAACAATTTATAACCACTGCCAGACGACAAGAACCAGGTTGTTGCACTTCCGGTTGTGGATCGCGCGATCAGCGTTATCAGCGACCTAGTTTTTAGAACTACTAAAGCATCAATGAATCAGAACAATAAAACTGGACATACCACTGATAAGATTTACGTAAACAGTCAGGTTATGAATGCCGATTATCCAGAGAGGTTGCAGAATAATCAGAAGTAAGTGCGTACTGCGTATGATTCTTCTCTGACCTGGCCATCAAACTACAAACTGTTGCTTGTGACTAATAATAATTATGAAATCTGCAAAGCTGAAAGGTGGGCCGTGTATAAATATTCAGTATACTCACAACCAGAATTTTATCGTGCACGCGGATCGTGAGCACGGAATCCCGAATTTATTGCAAAATTTGTGACTAATTCCTACATTTATGTGTGATATACTGATACTGTTATTAGTCAACACTCGCCTCACAATCAGTATATGCATGTGCACGTGAATGCACATACCGTGATTACCGGTGCTGCAGTAGTATTTTTGGTTATTTATTTAATATCGCTTTCACTTTTATCAATATAAAAAACAGAATTTAGGGAATAATATAGAAAAGTACAGTAACAATAATATCTATATAATAATAATTTAAGTGACAGTTAATCACTTAAATGGTTCCAACTTCCAAGTAAGTATTCTTGCTCGAATTTGCATCTGTCGAATTTACATAAGCGACCTTCCGTAGGTACAATTATGATTGCGAGTTGACGAATGACCAGGTGCATTTGTCGGCAGGAGTGGCTTTCCCACTTCTGCCCGGATGATTCTTTCCGCTCCATTCTCTTATGACCGTACCCGGTACCCGTACTTGTAGTCTTGTACTGCTCTTTCGCATCTTGTCCAGGGTAATCCAGTTTACACGGATAATTGGCCATAATGCAGTCCAATAACGAGAGCGCTGGCACATCCTACTTATCAGCTCTCTGCTAAGCAGTTCGGTGCAAAACTGATCGATTTGCCATCGATATATCATTCTATAAAACTTTGTTTAACGCAAAAGAACACAATAAATTACTTAGCTCGAGGACAAGATAATTGATGAAAAATATCAGTACAGAAACATAAAAAGATTTTACGAGGGGGAAAATGAATTATGATTTGGTAAGTACAGTACTCGTAAATGGTAATTCGTTTACCTTTTATACTGGTCGCCGGTGACTTTCGAATTAATGGTGTTGCTGCTGTTGCATGTACCGCTTTTGTAGTAGCTTCCCATTCATTCACAATCTTTGTATGTGATGACACTATTATTTTTAATTGTTTTCCTTACCACAGTGTCTGTGTAACCTCGTTACTCGTATATACAGTACAAGCGAAAAAGACTTTTTCGAGAAATATATTAGACGATCCAGCTTAATGCAGAGTTAAACGGAACTACTCTTTTATTATTGTCATTTGTCATATTAAGCGTATTAATAATGACTTTAACGGGTTACCTACCTACATTTTACAATAAACAATAATAAAAATATCTTCTTTTTACAACCAGCGTATAGTGATAATAACATGATACATTTCGTCCTTGAAGCCGACAGTGAGAATCGCTCGATTTAGCATGTCACGATCCCGAAGATCACAAGCATGCATTATTCTCTACAGTTTTCTTTTTGATGGAGCATAAATCGGAGAGCAAAGTTTTAAATTTTTCCCTGTGGAGGCAAAACTGTTCCTGTAATATTTTACGGTTTACGATTTTCTTTTCCGAATTGCTTGCCATGTACTTACTTCGATAGCTTTGGGGGTTGGGTTAAAAAGCTTTGGCGAAGCAAAGAGCGGCGCACAGCCGCAAGTACAGAAGCAGTAGTCGTGTATACGGTAGGCATCTGTACCACGGTAACCGGCCAACCAACAGCTCGCCATGGATGTTCATAATTCCTGTTGAAGTGTGCATGTATGTGTGCATGTGCTCGTAGGAAAATCGTCGATCGTGATCGAAGCGCAGTTTCATTTTTCGGTTGCCCAGCGGAAGACATTACCCGCCAAATTGTGGTGCTGATAACAGTTTTTTTTGCTCAAAAACAGTTTCTTTATGCACTATTTTTCTTAAGGAAGTGGAAACGTAGAAAAACTTGAAATGTGCGCATGTGCTTCAGAGAAATCGGATGTGGTATAAGTGCCGCTGCATGGTCAGTCGACGGAAACTGCTGGCCTGACCAGCCCAAGTAGACTTGACCGGACTAGCCGAATAATTGCAGTGTTGGTAGCTGCAGCCAGCATTTGAATTTTCTGGACTACACTCGTATTACATGCACTGATAGAAAAATGGATTCTGTATCGCATTCAAGCAACAGCAATTGTTCCACTGGCTCTTATACAGACTCGGAGAATGTAATGGATCATTCATCTGACGACGGGATCCGTTTAATGCCTTCCATTTCCACATTAAAACGCAAATTACCCGATGATCAATCGGCAGTAATGTTTGGGAGTTTTACGGTTAATTCAGAGAGCTCCACACCGTATTCGGATGCGACCAAATGCAAGAAAATCGTAAAGCATGTGAAAAGGCCGATGAATGGTAAGTGTACGGGTCATATTGTACAAATGTACATAAGAATACTGGCAAATTGATTATTTTAATATCCAATGCTCCGATCCGTTTGGTGTGCTTTTTTCCACTGAGGCCAGCATTTTATTTATATTAAATTAGTCTATTAGATTCGGCCGTGACACAGTGTGCAGTAAGTATGTTAGCGAGTATCTGATTGTAACAGCGAAAAAAGCTGTTGTATCCGGCGCTGTTGTAGTGGGTTATATGAATATTTGATACTCATACGGGTCTTAATCAGTCATCGCTACCTACTTTTGTGATCTTGATTATTTAGAGAGGGCTTTTAACCAAAATATCAATTGAAACTGAAGCGGAGCGGAGCTGAAAAATTTTGCATTGTGTGCTTAAGCAATAGTGAACTGGCGCTTTAGCACGTTGTCACTGTTGACGCAGGCCAACGAGTAAACCACAAGATTAATATGATTTTTACGTCGAGGGTTATTGTACAATTATACTTTTTCGTGTTTTGCCCTGAAATATGGAACTGCAACCGGTAAATCATACAGTCAAGTCCGCTGTACTGATATGTATGTATCTGCAGCATATAGCGATTTTAATACTTCTAAAGTATATCTTCAGCAAAATGTTTTCACCATATAAAAATACCGTAAGTAATCATCAAACTTTTGTTGACTGAACATTATCGTGTAGGTGTGACATCCCACAACTACAAGGTAGATTTCAGAATGCCGGTGTAAACAATTCACTACAAATCTTGTAAACCATTTCCTGTATTTTAAAAAGTTTAACCGTGAAATACCGTGTCCGCGTTTGCGCTTTAAGGTACGCATTTTTATGCCGTAAATTAATGGCAGTCGATTAGCAAACTTTCATAAAGATCTATATTTTTTGCACAGGTCATCGTCATGGGTTGTTCATAGCAAATGTCATAATTCAAATACGGACACGGTTTTCGTCTCCGAGCGTTCTTCACGTAGCATCACTCCAGATTCCCTGTTATTCTTAGCTTTTGCGGCGATGCATCTTTTAAAATTAATATGATTATGGGCCTAATTCATTCGCTTGTCATTTGATCTGTGTACTGATCGCGACTTTACTTAATGATTGTCGCGACGACTCCATCGGCTTCCTTATTAGTAAGTAAGAAAAACATTAAAGTAATTTTTACGTAATACATCCTCGCGTTCGAAAATTCGTCGGGGTTTTTTGTTCGATGCTTCTTCCATGCTTGAGCGCTCTCAACGGTGCCCCGGGCTGGCGGAAGGGGCGTTATTTCCCGGATGAATACGGCGCGTTTGGTACGGCTAGGCTCCAAGTTCTTTTGCCCGGCGAAACTGGTTTTAAGAGTTTAATAATTACTATGAATAGAACTGGTCAGCACGAAACCTTCTGAAGTTCCATCTAGATTGTACGACAGTTGGTTTTGCCGGTATCGCGGTGCTCAGTGCGCACAATGCTGACGCTGACCGTGACAATAAGAAAGTAAACTCAACGCTAGAAAGTACGTTTAAATATGAAATTTTGTCGCTTTGTGAAACTGGAAGTGGTTGCCGTTTTTGGACGACTGTGGAAGTAGAAATTACATCTTTTCCAAAAATTGCAAACTTATGTACACGGAATCAGCATATAAGAAAGCTGAGAATTCGACACAAATGCTGCAGTTCGCATACATAGAGCACAATGCATTATGGAAATAGTGGCTGAATACTATTTCTTACCATGAAGTAGGTACCAAAGAATATCTTATTAGACTAACGACATGTAAAGAAGCATTTTCCTAATCGTTCTGGTGTCCTGCTGCTTAAGTTTCTGCGACTGAAAATATTGGATCGTTCGCGGCAGAATGAATAATTACAGTATAAGTGGAAGGATGGCCGAAAGATGGTGGTTTGCGCCCGAAGGTACTTTCTGAACGCATACACCGTGTCATCTACGTTTATGGAAATTTGCTACGGGAAAAGCGGTTTTATCTGAACATCTCGCCCGTCCTAAAGTTAATGATAAATCTCCCTCATGCGTAATGTATTTTCTTTCGACTAAAGTGCGGCGCTCACTATAACAATAACGTACTGATCTTGGTTCCGGCTTGCTGTATTTTGTTACTTTTTTAGAAGTAAATCACACCAAGCCAGTATGTGTACGTCTACAGTAAGTCCTAACTTTTTCTTTTTTACCACAATAACTCTGTTTTTGGACTGGTTGGTGTTAATAAACTTTCGCTTTAAAAGCACAACGAAGAAAATGTTCCATAATCGTAGACTATGATAATTTCTACTTATAAGTTGGCTTGTTTATGTAGAAAATTGATAAAACTTTATTGCTTCAATTATGCGCCATAAATGACGCGAACCATATTAGCCCTTCGACGGGAAATGTTTTATGGAGGATGGCCGTGTGTGGTCATGATTGCGTAGTTTCATTTGCATAATTGTTGCAGCTTGTGCCAGCTGTACAGTTCTTTCATTTGTACGAGTATAATGGATGCGCGCGCTAGTTTATTGCAGAGATGTTTCAATATTGCGTTTTCCAATTTATCATTAAGACCCGGGCTTTTTACCTGGGAAATCCAATTGCCCGAGCAGCATCCGGGCATCTGGTGGTAGTCAAGATTTATCGAATCACCTTGCAGAAAATAGAAATAGAAAAAGCGTTTGTTTGATGTCTGATTTCTTCTGTTGAGTCACTGTGGGAGTCTGAAATTTTGATGATTTGTGTGCAAGAGATTTGCTTCTTCAACTTCTAATTTATTATTTTTCGAACTAAAAATTATTCCCGAAAGCGCCGGTGGTTTTGTAATTGATTGTTTTCGGGCGCTAATTTTGCTCCACTTTATTCCCCGAACTGTAGCTTCTTAATTTCTAATGGCTGCGAAAGACGTTGATGGTCAGTAGATACGCTAATAGCATGCCGTATTTTGAACTTTACAAAGTTGATTTAGGCTGCGTCTTGGATGAGAAGTACAGAGTAGAAATAATTCACGGCGACTGGTATTTATTTTGCTTTCTATGTGTGTTGCAGCGTTTATGGTGTGGTCGCAAATCGAGCGACGTAAAATCACCGAACAGCGTCCCGAGATGCACAACGCGGAGATCAGTAAGAATTTGGGGGCCAGATGGAAAACATTGGCGGATGCGGACAAGCAGCCGTACATCGAGGAAGCTGAGCGATTGCGGGTACTTCACACTCAGGAGTACCCTGATTAGTAAGTGGCTGCTTGTTATGTTATAACTGCGCTTCTTTGGGGGCTTGATTTTTGTCTGCCTCAATTCACAATGGGTGTACTGGGCTGTTTGAGTTGAGAGAATGAGTCAAGAGCGTGATTAAGGTCTCAGATGTGCCAAATACGGCGTGTATATGAGGAGGAATATCGTAGGACAACCGAGATGGTCTGCGTCCGATAAGCACATTTCGGCATATAGATTGCCTTTGCACAGTGGACAGCTTGATTACTAATGTGTAATGAGTGGAAGGCTTTAGAGGAAAAAATTTCCATGCCATTTGATGTTCGTGAGAATTGAAGATTGTCCAGATTGATCTTGTCGTCTTGCTGCCGGTTTGGCTGTTTTGAGGGCTTATTAATTGTAATGGAGGGACAGTTTTTATTGTAACGTTTTTCACTTCAGAGAGCCCGTGCTTAATGTTTCGAAAATTATTGTAATGGTGTGTGCTTCTGCCTGGTATGCGTGAGTGTGCGTTTTATCTGTGAGTCTGTGACAAAGTTTTTTTAATCAATATTTCGCTTAGAAACTTTAGTGAACGATATATGCCGTCAAGCAGATCTTTTCTCTCTCAAAACCGACAAAATGGAAAATAAATTAATGCAACCCAGCTAGTATTAATCGGTTGGTAATACCATTGGAGGTTGGTGTAATGCCTAATGCTAATTTATTGTTTGCTTTGCATTTTAACGTTTTAAAATGTAAACTATTGATTTCTTCGTCGGAGACTCGCAGACAGTGCAATGTTGTGCTGAAAGCTTGTTAGTTCTGTGCTGTAAAGTTTAAATGGCTAGCTGGGAGAGAGACCTTTTCCAGGGCATTTTGAAGCGTTGTAGATGCGAATTTGGAAAGAGTTGCTCCATATTTACTTAGCTTGCAATTCATAATCATCAACGTCAAAATGCAGTGATGTGTATATATTTTGCTTTGCAGTTACCTAGACTTGGGGATTTTTGAAAAGAGCAAAGGCTCTTGAAAGAGAGCGAGGGAAGCAAACGGTTACGCTAGATTAGAGCATACACACACTAATAATTGTATGCGCGCATGTACGTTTACATTTTCCGTGATGTATGGTGACGTTTTTATCAGCCGTATAGCTTGTAACGGTTAGGCCGATTACCGCAGCAGCTTGAGTTATCAGAGGAGAAGATATTGTGACAGTTGCGTTTGTAACTCTTGTAAACATTTATCTGGGCACATTTGCATGTTTAAATAACTTAATAACAGGCTAGGTCACGCGTTTTTTCCCGGCTCAGCTCGTTTCATGTAGTAGCGTCTGTAAACCGCAGAAAACCTGCAAGTCAAAGAACGTTATCATAACGATCAAATATAATGTTCATTAAAATTTTTGTTTAGCTGACAGTTTGCACCAAGTCATTTTTTTGCGCTGCTCGATACAACTTCGATACACTGTGTATGCGCATACAGAGTGCAGGAGACGGAAGGGTGCTTTTTGCATCTGCTAGCATGCTCGCAAAAGGAAACAGCCAGATGTGCGCAAATCGTAATAGCCAGTGTGGTGCCAGAATTTGAGCGACGATTTATGTTTTGTAGCCACGCTAGGTGCACTTCTGCCTTCGTAGTTGCATAATCAAATAAAGCGAACTTGTTTGTATTGTCTTATAAAATCCTCTATAGATCATCGACTTAATTAAATTATGAGGGTAGTGTGCCCTTATACAGATCGCGAACAGCAAGTGATATGCAAGCTTTTCTCGAATTAATGTCCACTGATAAATTTTGATGGGTTGTTGCCGTGAACATGTCACACGGCGGTGCATTTCACTACCCATAGATCAAACTGTGTAAACTGAACTTTGTTTTAATTTTGTGATTAAATCAAAGTTTCCATATGCATGTGTACGAATGTGCACTACATTTGATAAAGAAGTACAAAGGAGGAAAGACAAAATGTTTACACTGATTGTGAACGGTATTGCGGCTTAAATAAGTCTTTCTTCTTGCTAAATACTCTGAAACATTTCGATACAATAATTAAAGTTAAGTACTGTAACTGAATTTCTAATTTTTGTAATTGCAGCAAATATCGTCCTAAAAAGAAAACCAAACGGGATAGTGTGGAAAAGAGTGTAAAATGCGAGCCGGAGAAGCCGCAGCATCGCCCACAGCAGCGGTTAAACAAGAAGCCGGAGCCTACACCAGTAGTCACCGCGGCCCAGGCAGTCAAAAGTTCCGATCCTTCCCGATTCAAATTTAAATTCAGTCTGGCTGATAAAGATCGTTCCTTGATTGAACATCTGGCCACTAAGGGCTTCGCCGCCACCGCCGCTGCCGCAGTATCCGCCCTGCATCTGAACAATTCCAGTGTTGCGCTAAACGGTCAAGCCCATTTAGCATTAACCAACACCGCTCTGCCTAATATCCAGCTGATAACTCGTGGAGAGGGCTACTATGCTGCCGACCATAGTCCCCGCAGTATACACAGTCCGGTGGCCCAGGTCCCGGCAAGTCCCGGCTTTTCTAGCGCATCCAGCACCAAATCTGAGCCATTATCGTTAAGCGGATCGGAATCTCATAGCCCTTTGCCGGCAGCACAGACACTGGCAGGAATACATCATGGTAATGTGTTGGATATGGAGAAATTACTGTACAGTGTGCAGATGCAGCGCAACAGTGGCGCAGTGGATCATTTTCGCCAGCAGCAGCAGCACTGGCAGCAGCTACGCATGGCTGAAGTTGAGGAGTATGTGGAGAATTTTCAGGTCCCTGAGGAGTATGCTGACGGGGGGATCAATGCCGATTTAGATTATGATAAAATCCTCGATTTACTGCAGTCGACCAATGCTCCCACTGGCAATCAGTTTGGCGGCGGCGGCGGCTGGGATAGTGGTGTGCCCAGTGAGCAGCTTATCAACTGTGCGGATGTGTACATGCAGGGATTGCCGGTGGATTTTAGCGGTGCCGTTAATGGGGATATGATCAACCCAGTGATCTGTGCCGGGAACAATAGCACCCCTGCCGTGTCCAGCGCATCCACCGTGTCCTCGGCTAATGGATCAGTTTTCGAGTTTCCCGATTACGATAGTCCAGAGGGCTCGGCACTGCTGGAGAGTGAGTGGCTGCAGCAGCAGAATTCAGCGGTCTTATCGGCTCACTGATAAGACGGGATCTTTTGGGAGGAGAGCTTTTCCAATCCCATGGGTTGTGCACACTTGGATTTTAGGATGTTTATGTTCACGTTCGGCCGTTGCTCAGCCGTGATTCTCCTTTATTGTGTTCTTAATCCGCTGTTGGACCAACAAAATCTTCCATGGCTTGTACAGATGAATTTTTCGGAATTCTTTATTATTATCCCAAAGTATTTTTCGTCGCGCGACTGCTTTTCTCGTTTTCAGTTGATTTTCATCTGTTTCTTTGTGCTGTGGGATAATGCGTATTGTCGAGTCGGTCTACTGGCATTTTCGTCAATTGGAAATCTTTTGGAACGAGATATTCGACCTTGCCTTCGAGTGTTGCGTGATTATTGTTATATTATCCATTTGTGTAACGTCGGTATCGTCGTTTCCAGTCGGTTATTTTTCGGGCGCAGCTGCAGATGAACAGCAAACCAATTCATATGCTCAAGATGCAGAAAATACTAGGTTTGTTTTTCTATTTGTTTGTTGACTGATTTTGTTGTCTATGTTTCGGCATGTTATAACCATCAAAATTTGACGGAAGAACGGATGGCGAAAGTGAAGTTGAGCAGGTGTGGGCAGGATAATTTATGCCCAGTTATAACCGGCACCCCGTGAATTTTGGCGCCTTTGAGCATATCTCGAAAGATGCCACTGGGTGACTGTTTAAAATGCGAGATTGTGTAATCGGCACAGTGAAAATTTGGCGGTTTGAAATTTGAATGTTTTCAGTGTATTTACTTTTGTTTCGAAGGAAATGTGTTTAATTGCAGTTCTTTCCCCTGCCTTCCTTAATTGATTGGGTTGAAGGAAAACAGTTCTTTCGTTCAAGAATTTTTTCTTCTACGAAATGTTTGTTGTACAGAGTTCATTAAAGTTGGAAACGTTTCTTGCCTTCTTGGTTCCGCTACATTAATTTCACTGATGTTTACTGAGTAGGCAGAGAAGACATACTCAAAATTAATTTAATGTGATTTAGTTTCACGTAATCCACCTGGTTCGTTCTTAAAAAATGTGGCGCTATGAAATATAAGCAACGTTACCAAACCAACGTGTGCTATAACAGAAATTTAACGAAAAGTAAAGGACATGAAAAGTCTTGTGCTCTCTCCACAGCAGCCAAATTCAGTTAAACAGAATAACGCCCACGGTCTGTCAACAGTGCATAAATCTTACCAAATGGAAGCAGCTGTTCGTAAAATACATCTTAAATTATTCTTAATGTTTCTTCAAAAAGGTTTTGCAGCGCTCGCGTCAGGAGGATCGACGCAGACCATGTTCGGAACTTCATTTATAGTTTTCCAGAGTGCTACAACAGGAATAATGACACGAGACTGAAGTAGTGATATGCTGATCACTGATATTACATGGTATAGATTCTGTAATAGCAAATCAAAGAAGAGATCGGGAGATCTGGAACAAACTTGAAGTGCCGGTAATATGCATATGGTCGCTACAGCAATACACAACAAAAGGTTTTTTGCTATCACCAAGTTACCTATCTAATGTGGAGATTGAAATATTTTGTATTATACTTTTACTTGCAGCTTGTCAAGAGATTTTTTATTACTTCCCTTATGTCTCATTGTTAATTGCAGAATTTCCCGCTTGACATGGAATGCTTTACTTTGCGGGGTGGGTTATTTGCTTTAAGGATATGTGTCTGCCTTGAACAAACTTCAAACAAATGAGCAAATTTTCCACGTTTTGCAGAAAAATCAGCTGAAGTGCATTTTATCGTACGGGAGCGTAGCTGTTGCACATGTAGTGGCGGCAGTTGATATCCGGTTGTCAGAAGATTGCACATGTTCGGTAGTATGTGGGATGTTTTAATGGATAATTTCATCTGGGAATAACCCAACCGATATAATTTAGCAGTCTTAAATTTAATCTTGAGGCCGTGTCAATCAGGGTTTCCTTGAGCAATTCGTTCGCATGTATGCTATAGTCGGTGACGCGCAAGTGCAAATCTCATAATCAGTGATGATGATCGTGGCCGGCTGATGTATCCGTTTTATTACTTGAGCCGGCATTGTCTGCACTATGCTGAATAGTAGGCTTTGCTGTATTGTTCTCAGGTTGTGGAAATTATAACCATTATGCTGCTTGTGGCATTTATCATTAGACGCTGCTTGCCGAAATGCCCCACCCAAATATCAGTGAAGCTTGTTATACCACACAAATAGTAGACATACGGTAGAAAATTATAACTAGTAACCTTTGGCATTTTTGTAGTGTGTAATGTGTATGTGTATTATAGTGTCATGGAAGCGTAAAGCAAAATTTTTTGTGTGCCGCTCTGTGCTTCTTCTATTTGGCAACGAATTCCAGCTCATTTCTCATCCAGCATTAACGTTTCTTCAGAGTGCGGTACGGTACATGCATCGGTAGATATTATTGCTTATCAATAATTCGGTATTCTCCGACGTGTAAAGTGGTCATGTCTCGGACAAACCTTAAGCTGCTGGTTGCGCATGTACCACTGGCACTCGGTTATGGCATGGTCAAGTGGTTCGGCTTGTGCTGTGTCGTCCGCATATCGAAGCCTCTGCGCACTAGTGGCATCGTGATCGGCGAGATTATTCGTTTGCAATGCTTGAAGTTAACCGCAATTATGCGGAACCAACATTTTCCCCCTTTTATTTATCTGTTCCGTATCACTTCTCTATTCTACCCATTAATCAACTGTCTAATGAGGATGCGCGTCCAGATCTCGTGTACGGTGTATGCCGGCAACGTTAATGTTCAGCTTGCGCACCATGAAGTGTCAGTGTCACTGGTTCTGTGAAGTGATTTATGCACCGATGACTTCTGGTTCTGCGTTTTTAATTTATAAAAAAAGATGCAGCGCATACGCAGTACAGTGAATACTATCCAACAGAGGCGAAGCTTATAGTAGCAATTAGCAAATGAAAGCAGCGGACCCTCGGTTTAGTACAGCCAGCCTATTACAGAATATAGATTATGCTAAATTAACAGGAACATCTTCTGCACATAATCATTCTTGAACTGATTTGATTTTCCTGTGGCGCTGAAGTTGGACTGTTATAATATAAATCGTTCAAAAAATGAATTCAAAGCAGGTCTACCGATCCGTTCTATAATTTCATGTGCAATTTCCCAGGTATTTGTGCTTTGCGAACTTATACCATACGGCATACAGTATCTAGCTAACATGAAAAGATATAAGTAATTATAATGTGCCTTTTATTGATGTTATGTCTATAGAAATTAGAACAGCCAACGATAATGTTTAACTGCAAATCGTAAAATGTGGCAGTTGGGATATAGTAACCTTTGCCTGACAAACACATCTGTAAGAGCCAGTTTTATTGTCATCTTTACGAGTAGTGCATACAAGACCGTCGCAAACATGCAGTACATTTTACAATACCTTTAGCAGTATAAGCCTAACGTAAGTACTTGATGAAATCAATGCTGGCAAGCATATGCGAAATCGTGACCGCAGTTCTCCCAACTTTACGAGTAGCAATTCTTTTTAACATCTGATTAATTAGACGACGGTTTAGCGCTGGCTATAAATAAAAATAACCCAGCTGTGTAAGTGTACGGAGTATCAATTCTTGTACTGTTCTCGTATTAATTACAATAATTATCACCATCCGGACAACCTGCGTAAATGCTTAACGACAAAGTTCTACACCGATCAGTGATAAAAAACAGAAAGAGACTGTTACCATCAGCACCGATTTTCATGGTTAGTTCTAAAAGTATATTTGAAAAAGACGTACTTTTTAGTTTCAGTTTTGTTTTACCTGGAAGAGTAGGACAAACTAACATAATACAACGGATTCTGTTTTGGCCTACCATATGGCATACACGATATGTTTACGGAACCGGCTGTGCGAGCGATCGCAATAATAAATAACTGTTATTAAACTAAGGGCTAATATTTGTATACCACACGTGAGACGTTTATTTAGTTATAGGTGATTAAAAATTAGAAATCCGAAACTGATTAAAAACTACACATCCCAAATGAGATTGTGATCAGCAGCTTTCAACATATTACATATATACAGAAAATAATAATTATATTTAGATTATAATTGCATTCATTTATTGCTGGAATCGTATATATTTTTTTTACCGCTAATTAAATGGGAATAATGCTTAAGCGTTAACTTAAAGAATGAATCAGCGCTGAAATCGAACGTAATGATTTTTGTTTGATAAGGGAAATGACTCGTGTCAGATCAATTATACCATCGGCTCGTTTAAAATCTATAACCCTTAATGGTGGCAATAGCAGACTCGGGTTTCCTGTATCAGCATGGTAAGAAGCCGGTACAGAACAGGACACATCCTCCATATATATGCGGGATATCTGTAAAAGGGTGCATGTTCAATTTACATTTTCTAGTGTTATTGTTCCGGCATATTTGCACTGATACAATGCCGGGTTGGCCGTAATGTAATGTGGGCAAACAGTTCTGTCAACAAGTGAGCTTTCTTTCTTTTTCCTTGGACTGAGTTGTCATTTGCACGCAGAATGCCGGGTTATAGCATATGTACGGAGAGTAGCCGAGCATTTTGTGGAAAACTGGGTCTAACCGTGATCGTGGCAATTCGATGTTTGATGGACACTATATGTATAAACGGTCATGGGAATAACCTCCGGCTTGGCGAGCCGGTAAAGTAATTGTGAAGCACCAATTGGTATATTTACATCAACAGCATGTCGAGCTAATCAATACGACTCTGGTATAATTGCTTGACGCGCAGTCCACGGAAAATGCTAGCCATTTACAAGGGGCGAAGCAGCCGGAGAGCTGGCTAATTACCACCAAAAATTTTCGGTCTGCCAAAGCATTTTTCTGTGATCTACGTCGAAACATTCTAAATCTACACGCTATTACCTCATACGAAATACAAAACAAAAATGTCAGAATACGAGTAAGTCAGAAATCATACGCACTATGTACGCACTACAGCACAACCGAATTAGCACAGGGTACCGTAATATATCGAGAGAAAACAAATGTGTATTTGTACTTGTGAACTATGATGCAAAGCAGTAAGAAAAAATTGTGCAAATTTGATGAAATGGTTCCTCGCTTGTTTTTTACGAAGTTTCTGATATTGTAAGGCTTCCGTAGTATATTACCATATCCCGCAGTTTATATGCCGATCGAGTATGCCAATTGCTTTGCTTGAATTCATCATAAAACAGGCAAAACTTCTGAAGAGCAGATCAACTTTTATTTTGCGTTTATTAGCAATCGGTGCATGACCAATTAGGCTACACATGCAGTTGACCGTTGACGTAAGCACACATTGTCCCAGAACGGTGCACAACATAGATGACTAACTACCAAAAAGCAAACAAGAGGCAACAATTGAAATGGCCAACAAATGCAATACGCGAGCGAGAGACATTCGTATAATGCCAAGGATGGTGCCGATAGGTAATAACACTTCGGTGTTTGCACCGGCCAGCGGGTAAAAGTGTCGAAATCGGTAATTTATGAGCTTGATTAACAATATCTTTTCAGCCGGCATTTTCTTTAGATAGTTGTAAGTAAACCGGCTTTTGATTTCTTTTGACACATACACATGCTAGACAGATATTATATTACAAAAGTCGACATTCATGAGCAAGCCCTACATCGTTTCATCAGATCGCTAACATCCTGCATTTCTCCATTACCGGTTTCATACAGTTGACTGGTCAAATATAAAAATCACAGAGATTTTAAGAGGGATTTATGTCGAACCCATTTTATTCATGGCCGGTATTTGTAAAAATAATGAAAATATCCCTCGCTGCATAGAGAACATTTCTGCATGGATCTGCTGACCTGAAGCAAAGGACTTAATATGGTGGAGTACAGCAAAAATGCACTGTTATATTTTAATTATTATGCA